CTGTAGTACATATGGACCCTCTGGGAAAGCTAAACTCCAAACTCTACCGCCTGCGCCCGGAGGCACCGCTCTTGCAACAGAGGCACCCCCGGTGATCCCACACCTGTCGCTTGCCTCGGGCTTCGGCTTTAGGGCTGTCTGCAAGCTCAGTTTCATGGGGTTGGGGATGGGGCCCGGGACGATCCAAATTTTCCGCTATTTCTGTGTAAGCGAGCCTGCGAAACATAATCGTAAACAAGATCGCCTTAAGCCCAGTTGGGGAAAACATGAAATGCCCCAGAGGCCTACCTAGCTTCTAGAGACGCCATGAAGCGAAACCCGTATCCCTAAACCCTAAATATTTAGGTGCCGTACTGTATTAGGGACCAACAAGGGGACCATATTTTTGACAACCACCAAAATAAACGTGAAGATCGGCCCCTAGGTATATACCCTTAATATATCTATTATAGACCCATTATATAGCCCATTATAGGGTAGGGGTCCCCACTTTTCCCCTTTGAATCTCGAGAACACCCCACGGCCTTCTATTCCCCGTGTCGTGCCAGGACTTCAACACTGTACTGGGTTTAGCACGGTTTAGGGTTTAGGGTTTGCGGTTTGGGGTTCAGGGTTTAGGGTTCAGGGTTTTGGGTTCAGGGTTTAGGGTTCAGGGTTTAGGGTTCAGGGTTTAGGGTCCAGGGTCTAGGGTTTACAGGTCGCGAGCATGACAACGTAATTGATGGGACCCGGATAAAGGATCTTTGGTTCTTGTACCTAGGATTGTAGACAGTGTCGCCAATCTACATTTATTTCTACCCAGTTAAGGTTCCAAGCAATACTCTTTAGAGCCAGACTAAGAACCTCATAATGTGCACCACAGTGTTTGAAGAATAAGGCGACGTGCTACAACATGCTACTTGGGGGCTTACTTTGGATTCAGTTTAGACACTAGATGGGGACTTCCGAAGATACGGGACCCTAAAACAATACCCTGAACAGTAGGGCCCTTATTACAAGGACCCCCAAAAAGAGAAACTTCCAGAAAGATTGCACGAACATCACTTCTTACTCTGAAATAACATGCTCGTAGCTTAACCTTTTAGGGTTAGGGTTTAGGGTTTAGGGCTTAGGGTTTAGGGTTTAGGGTTTAGGGTTAACCTAAACCCACCAACCCCATCAAACCCTCAACGATTCGAGACCTTAGCTTAACCCTAAACCCGAAACCCTAAGCCCTGGACCCTACTTGAAGGATCATGGGGCTTTAGCAAGTAAAGTTGACTGGGATTATATAGGTAGTTTTCAAAATCATGGGCCCTTTATGGGTACCCTAAATATTAGGTGCCGTACTATATATTCGGGACCCAACAAGGGACCATAATTTTGACAACCACCCATACCCTAAGGGTCCAAGTGCCCAAATAGTAGGGTTTCAAGGTCCAAAAACCATTCAGAGTATGGATTTTGGGACCTAAAACCCTACTATTTGGGTACTTGGACCCTCTGGGATATGCCCTAAATAGTAGGATCCTTATTATAAGGACCCCAAAAGAAGGTACCCCTAATTTTCGGAAACTCCCATATGTAATTACATGTAGTGTTCGAGCCCGGTCTTTTCCGGCCTCTCCTGGTTCCTGCACTTCGGGGTTGGCGTCAGAATCGCGGCCCCCATGGTTTAGAGTTCAGGGTTTTAGGGTTGAGTGCTTTAGGGCTTTAGGGTTTAGAGTTCAGGGTTTTAGGGTTGAGTGCTTTAGGGTTTTAAGGTTAAGGCTTAAGGTTTCAGGGTTTGGGGCTTGGCGTTTTAGGGTTTAGAGCTTTAGAGTTGTAGGGTTTGGGGCTCATGGTTAGGGTTGGGGACTAAAATGTGCAAGCTGATCTAGACCTAAGAGTAACCCAGGAATAAAAAGGGTGCCCTTTTTGGGGTAAAGGGGGTTATAAGGGAACCTAAACCATAAAAAAGGGAATAAGGGCCTACTCTGGGTCCTGGTGATTTAGGGTTGTCAGAACCGCAGCCCAACGGAAACGGCAGATTGTAATACGAGCAACTGCTGAAACGACAGGGTCCAGAAGAAAGATCTTCTCGTCCGCAGGACGTGTATGGGCTTGGGTGTAAGGCATCGTGTAGAGTGTAGGGAGCTCGTTAGGTCGGAGGTTTAGGGTGTTGGGCTTGAGATTCCGGGTCTGATTGGAAAGGCTGCAAAGTGCCAAAGGCCAATTCTCTGACAACCACCCGGCATTGCAGCAGGATGCATTTGTTCTTTAAAACCGAGCTAGGTAGCAGCCCGTCGGAAGCCCGCGCCTAGTGCTCTTGTCAATAAAGCTTAGCAGAAACACCATCACTGAGACCATGGGAATAGTGCAAGCAACAAGTGTTATGACAACAAGAAAAAGTATGATGCCGATGATGGTGAAGATGATGACGATGATGATGACGGTGATGGTGACGACGATGATGATGACGATGATGATGATGCTGATGATGATGATGGTGGTGATGCTGACCATGGTGAAAGTTCGTATGGCAAGTAGACAAGAGTTCAGGTCGAACGGTTTGTAGAGTGCTGTCCGATATTCTACTGTAATTAGCTTGGCTGACTTCTGAACCCCTCCTAAAAGTTAAACTTTTAGCCTCCTTATAATAGTTCATACAGAAACCCAAAAAGTTAAAGTCTAAAGAGCCAACCAGAAGAACGCCAAGTTAAGATCTTGTCGTTGACCGGGTCTGGTTGCACAGATTCTAATGGGACTTTAAGCTTCGCGGTCGTGTGATTACATACCCATGACGGAATACGGCTACCAAGTACTGAACGGCCCAAAACGTGCGATGAAGGCAGATGAGACGATCCTAATTAAGCTCGCTTGTTTTGAGCGATCTCCCTCCCACCTGAACCCTAGGTGAAACCTAAACCGCCTAAAACCCTATAGACCCTAAACCGTTTCCGATCTTTGGAGTCTCCGGCTATTGCAGGAGACTCACAAAACTGGGCGCATGCAGAGTACACACGCGCGCGCGTGATCATTCGGTGGGTGTTTTCATTTTGCGTTTTTAGGCTTTCTTCGTGTGTAGGGTTTGCTGCTGTCGCTCGTACGGATGGCATAAACAATGCTATCATCCCTATCCTTATAAGCAGCTGTTGTTTACTTGTTGCTGTTGTTCTTGCTGGTGGTGGTGTTGCCGTTCCGGGCTCTCCTCATCCAGCCCGACAAAACGAATCGCAGACCATATCAATGCAAGTCTACCTGGGGTACGTGTACAAAAGTCGCTGTGCAAGCCTCCTGCGGGCTTGAAACTGGAGTCGCATTTTGTATGCAACTCGAAACCAGAAAGCCCAATCCCCCTTAATCAAGGAGGATACTATAAATAATAAGATCAAGCCTTTTATAGCTTAAGGTATTAAGTTTGGCAACCCCTACACTACCCCATAAACCAAGTACAAGTCCCACATAATGGCTGATGATATAAAAAGCTGCATTACCCATAATAAGGAATATGCCATAATTCCCATAGTCTAGAGTCATTGAGCTAATGCAGGATTTATATCATCAACCTAAAGCCTAAACCCCTAAACTTTAAACCCTAAACCCCTCAACCCCTAAACCCAAAACCCCTAAACACCCCAACCCCCAAACCCCAAAAACCATGATCTATCATCAGAAGTAAGGGGTACTGGGCTCTCTGGGAAACCCTGAGTCTCCAGGCGTGAAGACATGTGCCACACCAGGGGCTCAGGCTATGCAGTCGGCGCCAGACGACTGCGCTCTTGAAAACGCCGCATTCAGAACAAGTCCGATACAATCCCATGCCAAACCTTCCTCGAGCCCTCCCAAGCCTTCAACCCCAAACCCTGAACCCTGAGCTTCTGTACTACCCTCAAAGTTCCATCATGTGCTGCAGCTGTTCCTTTTGAAGCTCTTGCAGGGTTCTTCAAGGGTGCTTTTAAGGGTTCTTGAAGGCTTCCTTACGGGTTCGCTTGAGGATTCTTTAAGGCTCTTGAAGGGTTCTAGGGGCTGGGGTTTTAAAGCTTAGGGTTCTATAAGGTTTGTAGGAGTTATTCTTTTGGTGTCTTAGGTGTAGGGTTTGGATAAGGTTCAAGGTTTCGGGCGTCGAGTTTAGATTCAGATAGGGGCCTAAGCCCTAGATTCAACCAGCACAAGGGTTTAGGGTTTAGAGTCTGCAACAACACGGAGCAAACTATGCATTCCCTTCTCTCCCAAACCGAAAAGAAATTCAGTTAGTCAACCCCATAACACTCTTGACAAGTCTTGTTCTAGGTTCCCCCGAAGCCCCTAATATTGAGGCTACCCTTGCTCCTACTATTTAGTTTTGAGAAGGGAATCCCCCAAAGAAAGGGCAAGAACCGTACTACTCCAATAAGCCACAGAGATAAACGGTTAAACTTCCGATTCCTACTAAACTACAGAAACCAAAAAGTTTAAAAGATTAGGGATCCCGGGAACCGGGTTTTCGCAACTAGGAAAAGCCAAATGCGTAACGCCCCACCTGTGAAAGCCTAGAGCCCTACAAGGGCTCTATAAGGGTTCTATAATATAAGGGCTCTTTATAAGGGTTCTATAAAGGTTCTATATACGGGCTCTATATAACGGCTCTATATAAGGGCTCCATATATAAGGGTTCTACAAATCACGAACGACAAACCAATGGTAAACATCTACGAAACTTAACACAGGCACTGACAAAACTCACAGCAAGAGGCACCTTGACATACTAAACCGCTACACAAAGCAGCATGCAACCCATGCAGCCGTATAGTCTACAAGGGCTACACAGACATAAACCTGGAGCACCCCGCCCTAAACCCTTCAACGCAAGCACCCAACCAACAAAACCCTAACCCATACAAACCCTGAGCCCTTAACCTCGAAACTTTGGAACCCTAATAAAGAACCCTTGTGGAGCCCTTTTCGAACCCTCATATAGAACCCGTATAGAGCCCTTTTAGAACCCTCATAGGACCTTTTAACAACCCTATCCGTCAACCCCAAAGGCGCACGAGGACCTGCTACAGGGTGTGCACCTTGCATTCCTCGGCACCGAAGGGGCACGGTTTACGGTTTAGGGCTTAGGGTTTAGGGGTTAGGTTAGGGTTTAGGGCTTGGGGGGTCTACTTGGAGGATCCTGGGACTAAGTAAAGCTACAAGTACTAAGTACCTTGATTGGGGTTATGAGTACTTATAAGTACGGCCATCTTATTTAAAACCCCAGTTACTAAGTCCCATGATCCTTTTGTCTTAAGGTATAAGGGCTTACGGCGTTTACGGTTTAGGGGTTTAGGGTTTATTTAAGGGCTTAGGATCAGAAGTTTAGGTTGCAGACAAGTTACATAGCAATAATGAAACCCTACTAATGTAGAGGTCGCCTTTTACAAGGACTTTTTAAGAGATCCATGGAGAGTCTTTATCGGACCTACAAGGCTTCAGGGTTTGTTTCGGGTAGGGGTTTACGAATGGTTAGGAGAAAGTCTTGCAGGAACCAAAATACTTAACAGTCTTGCCCACTTAGAGTCTCTGTTGAAATTGCAGGAAAACGGACCCGAAGCCCCGTTCAATTGTTCAGCTCTACAGCCTAAAACCTTAAACTCCCAAACCCTGAATCAGTCAACCCTGAACCCCCGAACCCTAGACCCCTAAAAGGAAAGCACATTGAAAAAAGCAATAGCGGACCAGTCTAGAGAGGGCGCTGTTTTCGATCAAAATATCTGGGGCATTGATTATTATTGGAACCCGATCGTGAAGTACATCGCCGCATCATGTATCATCATTATGTATGTTTCACCGCCGCGGCACCCCTTAAACTTAGTTGCTGAGTTCATAAGCCCCCAAAAGTGTACACTTTCAGTTTTACAGTGGGTAATATTATCCGAAAAAGTGAAAAGTGTATCCACTCAGCTACTAGGTAAACCCTAAAGACCTGAAGCCGTAATCTCCGAAGCACTTTATTCAGGGGCAGGAGACCCAAAGTGGCCAAAGTCCCCGCATAAATATTGAAAGCCCCGAGAAGTACTTAAAGGATCATGGGACTTAGTAACTAGGGTTATAAATAAGGTAACCATGCTTAACATTACTGTTAACCCCAATTAAGGTACTTAAGACCTTACTTACTTAGTCCCAGGATCCTCCAAGTAGGGCATTTTTTGGGTTTCAGGAACCCTGTATCCTACTCGGGCCAGAGGCTCCTTCGTCGCTGGAAAGCTATCCTCCACCATCCGCTCCAACAGCGTCGGCAGAGAGGGAGACGTGGCCGTCGCGGCCTCTTTGAGATGAGATAAATATACAAGAACTATACGGGGATACTATCATAGGGCCTTAGGGTTTCTGTCAGAATCCCTAAACCCTAAACCCCAACCCCTAAACCCTGTAGAACTCTATTCAGGATTTAGGTCGGGGTTAGTATTGGGGCTTAATGATTACAATAAGCTCCTTTGACATAGGGACTAAAGCTTCGGGTGTGCCTGAATACTTTTGGGCTATTAAGACTTCTTTCTATCTACAGGGTTTAGGGTCTAGGAGTTTAGGGAGTTTAGGGCTATTTATATGTAAGTCCTTCACCAGCCAGGCAGTTTTCGATAGTGTTCAGCTATGACTCAGGGAAAAAACTTTTGGCGTCTGCTTAGCTATATTTGAGACTTCGGGAGTTTGGGCTTTGGCTTAGCTGTCCGACGGCGTTTTTTTTTTTGGGGGGGGGGTCTAAGAATACAAGCGTGAGCATTCCACCAACAGCGCCCTCTAACACTGCACCGCTAAGATAGGTAAATAGAACAGAGCTTTGAGGTATGTTTTCTTCTAGGATGCCCAGCAACCTAGGAATAAAAAGGGCTCCACTTTCGGTATTGGGTAACTTTGTTGGGAACCTAGGACAACAAAAAGGGGAGTAAGGGTACTACTGGGCATCCTAGTCCACAGTTCTACCAGGACTATAGAGGTATCTGATTTCTTTGCCGAACCCTAAGGCAGTCTACACAAACTGTGCCGCCTGACAGCTTGGATCCTCAGCACAAGAATACTATACCCCCCGTAGAACAATACTAAAAATATGGTTTTAATATTTTCTTGTGTTTTTTAGGCGGAGCGGTTTTTTTTTTTCCTAGGTCTGGCCCTCCCCGGCTTGCTTTCCTAAGTCTGGCCCACTGGTTGTGGTTGCCAACAGCGGCAACTGCGGTCTTTGCTGCATCAAGCTATTGGGGAACTAGAATTTGACGGCTCTGGTTTTGCTTCTGTTTTGCATGAAGCTATTGGGGAACTACAACTTGCGGAGTCTGATTTTGCTTGTGTTTAGCATGAAGCTGTTGGGGAACCACAAGTTGCAGGGTTCGGTTTTCTTTGTGTTTTGCATGAAGCTATTGGGGAGTTCGCATTTGCAGGGATCGGTGTTGCTTGTGTTTTGCATCAAGCTATTGGGGAACTACAATTCGCAGGGTCTTCTTCTGCTTGTGTTCTGCTTCAAGCTATTTGGGAACTACATTTTGCGGTGTGTTCTTCTGCTTGTGTTTTGCATGAAGCTATTAGGGAACTACAATTTGCGGTGTGTTCTTCTGCTTGTGTTTTGCATCAAGCTAATGGGGGAACTACAATTTGCGGGGTCGGCTTTGTTTGTGTTTTGCATCAAGCTATTGGGGAACTACAATTTGCAGAGTCTTTTATTGTTTGTGGTTTCCATCAAGCTAATGAGGAACTAGCATTCGCAGGGTCCGGTTTTGCTTGTGTCTTGCATGAAGCTATTGGAGCACTACAATTTGCAGGGTCGTGTTTTGCGGGATTACAATTTCAAATCTTCTGTCTTGTGTCGTTGTTTTTTGGTGTCGTTGTCGACATCCTCGTCATCGTCGTCGTCATCGTCCTCGTCGTTGCAGTCGTGGTAGTTGTTCTTGTTGTTGTTGTTGTTGCTGTTGCTGGTGTTCTTGTTGTTGTTGCTGTTGTTGTTGTTGTGTTGTCGTGGTGGTTGTGGTTGTGGCTGTTGCTGTTGTTGTTGTTGTTGTTGTTGCTGTTGTTGTTGGTGGTGGTGTTGTTGTTGTTTGTTGTGTGTTGCTTGTTGCTTGTTGCTAGTTGTGTTAGTTGCTAGTTGTGTTAGTTGTTTAGTTGTTAGTAGTTAGTTGCTAGTTGCTAGTTGCTAGTTGTTAAGTGTTAGTGGTTCGTTGCTAGTTGTTAGTTGTTGGTGTTAGCTGTTAGTTGTCAGTCGTTGGTTGTTATTTGTGAGTTGTGAGTTGTTAGTTGTTTCTTGTTAATTGTTAGTTGTTTCCTGCTTATTGTTCCTTGTTTCTTGTTTGTTGTTTCTTGAAAGGGGTGAGGGATCAAAAAAAGTTAAATAAGGATCAAAAAAATTAAATGGAAAGATCAAAAAAATAAAATAAGGATCAAAAAAAATAAATCGCTCAAAATACAGCAATTCCTGGGGCAGAGGCATCAAAAAAAAATAAAATAAGGATCAAAAAAAATTAAATCACTTAAAATACAGCAATTCCTGAATTTTTCCAAGGGAAAACACTGTTTTCCTAGGGATTTTCTTTTGTTTCCTTAGGATCTGTTTGGTTTTTCCTCTGGAAAACACGATATTCCTGCGGATTCCGTGGTATTTCCCTAAGTTGTCCTTGATTTTTCGTAGGAAAAAGCTACCTATGGCGTTCGTGTCATTTCTTCAGGTTTTCAGAAGGACAACATATGGTTGTTCCTCGGGAAAATCAAATTTTTCTTACAATTTCACATTTAGGACGGATTTCCTGTTGTAGCTGTTGCTGGTATTCCGCTTCATCATCTATCTTAAACACGCCTCTCATTTGGCGATTCTGGTTCAGCATGTATCTACAAGGGCGGAGACGCCCTCATTTGCTGGGTTTCAAAAAAAAGCATATGCTTCAAAGCAACCCTGCACGGCTTAAAACAGCGGGGGGGTTGGGGGGGGCGCAGCCCCCCCCATTTGCAGAGACAACGTTCACATGATGGGCTTCGAAAACACTCTTTGAATCAAGCTTGCACGTCTCGAAAAGCGCGGCGGCGGGTGTTTTGTTCTTCCGTGCCTGTTCGTGTCTCTTCTTCCGTTAGCATTCTAACCTAATATATATATATATATAACATAGTAAACCAGAAGAACGACATAAGATGGTTCGACAACACAAAAATGGTGTGACATTTTCTGACATAACAGAACCTTGCTTCTTATAGCATATAATAGCATACTAAAAATACAACAATACAATATAACGGAAGATGACATAGAACAAAACAACATCTTAGTTTATAGTGTAGTACATTGTAACATAGTACAATACAGTGTGTATATTTACAACATAATATGTAGTATATTTTATAACATTAGGTTCCATTATGTTATATTATGTTACGGTACATTACGATATTATGGTAAATTCGATTGGACTATGTAGTATCCTGTTGCTTGTATCTTTGTTTCTGTGATTATTTCATATTCTTTCTCTTTCGTCTTTTCCAACTTTGCTTTTTTATTCTGGACTTTCTTTCTTTCGCTCGTTCATTTCTTTTCTTTCTTTCTGTTGTTCTTTCTTTGTTCATCTCATACTCCCTTCCTTTCTTTCTTGCTTTCTTTCTGGTTTGATTTATTTCGTTCTTTCTTTGGCTCGTTCTTTCTTTCGTTCTTGCTTTCGTTCTTTCTTTCGTTTTTGCTTTCGTTCTTTCGTTCGCTCTCTCGTTCTATCTTTCTTTCTTTCTGTTTTCCTTTCTTTCGTCCTCTTTAGATACAGCAATTTTTGAATTTTCCCAGGGGAAACACTGTTTTCATACGGATTCGTTTTCATTTCCTGAGGATTTGCTTGGTTTTTGCTCGGGAAAACACGATTTTCCTACGGATTCCGTGGTATTTCCTTAAGTTTATTTCTTTAGTTCTTGCTTTCGTTCTTCCTCTTGTTTTTGCTTTCGTTCTTTCGTTCTCTCTCTCGTTCTTTCTTTATTTCTGTCTTTCTTTCTTGCTTTTTAGATACAGCAATTCTTGAATTTTTAAAGCACAATGAAGCGATAGTCTTACGTATCGTTCTTCTTTATTTTCCGCGTCTTTCTTGTTCCTTTAACTATTTCTGTTTTTCTTTCTTAATTTATGGCCTTCCGTCTTTCGTTATTTCTCTGTTTTTGTTCTTTGGTTATTTCTTCATTGTTTGTTTTGTTTTTGTTTCTAACTCTCTTTGGTTCTTTCCTTGTGTTTTCTTTTTTCTGTCCTTATAGCTTGCTTTATTTACTTAGTTCACTATTTTTTGCATGGCTTTCTTTCTTTATTTCTATATTTCTTTCTTTCTTTCTTTTGTTCTTTATTTCTTTATTTCTTTCTTTCGTTGTTTTCTATTTTTTTTCGTTATTTCTTTCGTTCTTTCTTTCTTTCTTTCTTTCTTCCTTGCTTTCTTTCTGCCTTCCTTTCTTTCTTTCTTTCGTTCTTTCTTTCCTTCTCTCTCTCTCTGTCTTTCTTTCCTTCCTTTTTCCCCTTCCTTTCGCGGATACCCGTTTAATTTTTTTGATCCTTATTTATTTTTTTGATCCTTATTTAATTTTTTTTTGATCCTTACTTAATTTTTTAAACCCCTATCCCTTTCTTGATTTGTTGTTTGTTCTTTCTTGTTTATTGTTAGTTGTTTGTTGTTTGTTGTGTTAGTTATTTAGTTGTTTGTTGTTAGTTGTTTGCAGGTTTGAGGGTTCAGGGGTACAGGACCAGGAGAGACCAGGGGACCAGGGAACCAGGGACCAGGGGACGACCAAAGGACCAGGGGACCAGGGACCAGACCTAGCAAGGCCCCCCAGACCAGGCCAGACCTAGGAAAAAAAAACCATGGACCCTGTTTTTTATGAACAAAAATAAAAAATAATTCCTAAGGACACTATAGAATACTATGAAAACTACAACGTACACCAAAACCCTTTTACTATTGTTAAGGCACTGGGGAACTCCAGTATTTCCCCGGAGTCGAGAACATCTCCTGGAGCCGGTCCATGCCTATGTCCGTTCGGCTTGCCCACGGTCCCGCTCAAAGCTGCAGAAGTGCTCGACCCCTAAACCCTAAACCGTCGAGATCAAAGGCTAGAGTTTAGGGTTCAGATGTCGCCGTCGCTCCCAATGCACTGAAATGTTCGTCATGGCAGTCCCAGTCGTGTTCCGAGCATGTGCGGGGTCATCAGTGTCATTGCTGACGGTTTAGGGTTTAGGTTCTGGGGTTTAGGGTTTGGGGATTTAGGAACCGTTGTCGGTGTTTTGGTGATTTTGGAACTGGAGTTCAGGATTTGGGGTCCAGGTGGCATTCAGAGCTTTGGGTTTTGGGGTGTCGGGCTGAGGATCCATCTCCGATGGAAATTCGACAAATGCAGTAAGGGGCTGAGAGGAATATAGTAACAAGACGAAACGAACACTCTCCCATACTGAAACCTCAAACCTCCTCCCCAAATCTCAACAGTACCGCCTTGAACCCTTCAAACACAAAACCCATTAGCTACTCATCAGTAGTTATCCATTACGTTTCAAGCACCTCCACTCCAAGCCCAAACTTTACTAGCGGTCGATTGCAACAATACCCCCAACAAATTGTCATTAGGGCTCTACGTTACGCAATGAAGGAAACTAAAAACTATCCCACAGCGATATCCCTAAACCCTTAATCTTAAACCCCTATACCTACTTCGAATGCTCGGCCTCCAGCAGCAGCTTCACAGCATGCTGCACACCTCCCGCCTTGTGCAAGAAGGTGGCTCTAAACCCTACAACCCATGGGCTCCAATTAGGGTTTAGGGTTTAGGGTTTAGGGTTTAGGGTATCCCTTAATTAAGGAATATTCCTCAAGCCATATCAGAGACCCTATATCAGAGACCCTATAAGGTACAGTCCTTAATTAAGGGATATTGGAGCTCTTGGATCCCTTTAAAGGAACCCTTAAGGATCCCTTTAAAGGAGCCCTTAACGATCCCTTTACAAGAACCCTTGAAGGATCCCAATAAACCCTTAAGGATCCCTTTAAAGGAAACCCTAAGGATCCCTTTTAAGGAACCCTGTAGAACCCTTAAGGAACCCTTAAGGATCCTTTTTGAGGAACCCTGTAGAACCCTTAAGGATCCCTGGGGACCCCATAACTAAAACCCTAAGCCCTCGGAAGCGAGGTCTTCGGGTCTTCAGGCTTTAAACCCTAAGTCCCAAGCCCTAATACTATACTGAACTTAGGACCCTAGCAAAAATTATAATCTTAGCTGTTTCTAAGGGATTATAATAACCAAAAAATAAAAATTATTTCAAAGTACCCCTAAGATATAGGGTCCTTCATAGTTAGAATAAGGGCTCCTTCAAAGAAGGGGCTCTATATAAGGGGCTACTATATAGGGGTATTATAAGGGGTATTATGGGGGTTTGGTGTAGCCTTGATAAATAGAACAAACCTTTGGGGCCCATTATACTAAAATTATAATAAGGAACCCCAGCATACTGTTGATGATATAAATCTTGCGTTACCCAGAACACGGGATATACCATAATTTCTCTATCATCAACAGTAGTATTGGTAATTATTTAGGCCCCTATAGTAAACTGGTTGGGTCAGGGTTCAGGACTTTAGGTTGCTAGGCATTAGGGTTCCAGCGGCACTCGACACATGGCCCGCTCTGAAAGGCGAGGCAATGGGCATGCTGATGATAAGAAGGAACTACAGTAGAAGCCAGAAAGTTGGAACATGGACTTAGGAGGATTGGTGCTAGGATCCCCTATACTTGATCTTAAGGGCATGGGGATACTGATGTTCCAACTTTCTGGCTTCTACTGTAACAAGGTTTTAGTTTTGGGGTTGGGCCAACCTCGCTCCTTAACACGGCTGAAGGACAAACTACCTGCAGTGGCCACACGAAGGAATGAACGGAGAGTACCATAGTTTATTTAGGGCGCTTGCCGATGTTGGACTTTGTCCGTTAACGGTAAAGTTGTCCTTCTCGGTTCCCCCATACCCTTTTTGTAAAAGGGCCCTACTGATCACTACAACGCCTCATACTACTACTACTACTACTACTACTACTACTACTACTACTACTACTACTACTATTACTACTATACTACTACCACTACTACTACTACTACTACTACTACTACTACTACTACTACTACTACTACTACTGCCACCACTGCCACCACTACCACCACTACCACCACCACTACTACCACTACTACCACTACTATCACGGCTATCACGACTACCACGACTGCATCTGCCACTGCCACTGCCACTGCCACTGCCACGGCCACTACCACTACTACCACTACTACCACTACTACCACTACTAGTACTAGTACTAGTACTAGTACTAGTACTAGTACTAGTACTAGTACTAGTACTATATACTAGTACTAGTACTAGTACTAGTACTAGTACTAGTACTAGTACTAGTACTAGTACTAGTACTAGTACTAGTACTAGTACTAGTACTACCACCACCACCATGACAACAACAACTATTACTACTGCTACTGCTACTGCTACAGATACTATGCTGAGTACAGTCTTGAAAGAAAGACACAACAACACCGACCAGCAAAAGGGCACAATGTAGAACTGAACACATAAGTAGAAGTCAAACTTAAACATGTAAAGAGCCATGGTCGGATATAAACGAACATGAACATGACTGAAACGTTCAAAATGCAGATGCATAGATTGTTGGCATATTCGTCTAGTTTGCAGCCCTTTCGCAGAACCCTTGCTCAAAACCCTGAACCCTAAGCTACCCTTAACCCGAAGGGGATCCTTCTGGATCTGTTGGCGACACCGCGCCGCCGCAGCTGCAAATCTCGTCTTCTCGGTGACGCGCAGCAAGGCCGCCGACACCTGGAGCTCGGGTTTAGGGATTTTGGGGTTTAGGGTTTAGGGTTTATAGGCTTTAGGGATCTATAAGGCTTAGGGGTTTTGGGGTTTACGGTTGAGGGATTTAAGGTTTGAGGATTTTGGGGTTTAGGGTTTAGGGATCTAAGGCTCAGGGACTTAAGGCTTAGGGTTTAGAAATTGGGAGTTCTGGGGATTCCTCAAGTCTAGGATTTTAGGGACTTAGAGGCCTTGGGCTTAGGGTTTCGAGTTTAGAGTTGAGGGTCTGTAGAGGGCCTGAAGATGTTAAAGCATTTCATAAGGTTTTTGAGCGTTTCGGGTCTTTGGCTTGAGTTTATACAGGGTTTTAGAGAGAATCATTTCCATGAAATCCTTAGGCTAGGGTAGGAATACACGGCAAATCGTCAACAGGATCCCTCTATAATTGCAGGTATGCTCCTTACGGGTTTTTGGTGGGCTGCTTTTGCGAGGAAGGCCTGTAAAGCAATAAGCAATCCAAAGTAATCCTCTCGGATAAGCCCTGCGCCCAGAAACTCCAACATCCCTCAATTGAGGAATACACCTTAAATTATAGTAGGATCCGTTTACAAAAGATGTAAGGAGTAGTGCTGATTTACGCGATATTGGAGTCTCTGGGTTAAGGCTTGGGGAGTCTCGGATAAGCCCTGCACCTCGGAACTGTAGGCTGCCGCAGCTTCCATCCTGAGTTCTTGTTAAGGGTTTTCATTTAAGCACCATAACCAAGAAGCCACATTTTTTACCATAGATCCCTATTATGGCACCTTAAAATAAATTCCTAACCCCTTAAAGGAGCCCCCATAGATCCCTCAAACCTTATCATGGCACCTTAAAACTAAATTCCTTAACTAGACCTAAGAGTAACCTAGGAATAAAAAGGGTGCCCTTTTTGGGGTAAAGGGTCTTTGAAGGGAACCTAAACCATAAAAAAGGGAATAAGGGCCTACGCTGGGTCCTGGTTAACAAGATTCCTTCCTGTATCCCCAACCCCTACAAAATAGTAGGTTATGACCCTTAATTAGAGGGTCTGACCCTTGAAACGGGTTTTTGGATCCTAAGGTTAACAAGAGCCCAGCATATCATCTCCTTCGGCCGGCACCGGCTTTGGCACCTGAGATGTTTAGGGTGCAAAATCCCGGAGGCCGGTTTTGGAGACTGTTTTTTTTTCCACGGGATCCTCTGAAGGGGTTTAGGATTGATGGTTTAGGGTGTAGGGTTTAGGGTTTAGGGTTTAAAGCTTAGGGTTAGAAACTGCGTAAAAAGACACAAATGCCCGGGAGTTGAAGGCTTCGGGCATACTATCGGGGCCTTAACAATTGGAATAGTAGGGTTTTGGGGCATATTATGCTAAACTTGCAATAAGGAACCCCCAAAGTAGTAGAGGTATGAATAACTGAGGCCCCTATATATTGGAACCCTTAAACTCTTAAAGAACCCTTCTAGAACCCTTCAAAGGATCCAGAGGGCCTGCATAGCCACGCCCATGTCCACGGCCTGCTGGGCGTTCTGCGGCTGGTCGGCAAAGCCCGGGCAGACGACCATCGGAACCCCGGCCGCCAAGGACCTAAAATGGGGCTCTTTAGGGTTTTGGGGTTCAGGGTTTAGGGTTTGGAGGCCTCATTAATTATATATATATATATATATATATATATATGAACTCGTGAGATTACAGAACTCAAGCTACAATTGACTGAGCATGCATGAAGCGGATAATGCTCAATCCCTTTGATTTGTGCTATAGTCTGCTTGTAGAGCTGGTTAAGAGTACAGGGGCAATATTTCGTTCGTTTTACCGATCGTGTTTCAACATCCGCGCCGCTCTGCAATGACAAAGGATATAGCCATGATTCATTCGACGTATGTTCCAGAACTACACCTAAACTCTAAACCCCCACACCCTAAACACTGTACCCCCCCCCCTCAGTCGTGGGGCTTTCGAGTCTCGAGCCCCCTAATCTTATAGATACCCTATCAAACCCAACTGAACCCTATAAAAAGCCGACTCAAGGCGAAGGAGCTCCATGAAACTGTTCTGTCCACCGTGGGTCAGGAACACCTGGGGTTTCGGGTTTAGGGTTCCCTTTAAGGGATCTATACGGGTTCCTTTAAAGGGATCTATAGGGTTTTGGGTTGTTTGTTGCTTTTTTTAAAAGTGTCAGGGTTTAGGGTTCGAGGTTGCGGGTTTAGGACTTCGGCTTGCGGGTTTGGGCTAAAGGGTTCCATCGATTAGTCCCTCCAAAAACTTTTGAAAAGCCATTCTGTAGGGTTTGCGGGTTGAAGGAATTTTAAAGCGTTCGATGAGCTTCCGGGTATAATGCCAAGGCTTTAGTGAGGGGTTTAAGGGTTTAGGGTTTAGGCTTTTGCGGCAACTGCCGGGATTTTGCAACCTGCAAGAAGAAGAAAAGAGTGTTTGCTATACACGTCTTACCGCAAGCTACCCATATAAGCCATTCGAAAACCTTTATGGCTTAGATACCCCAATCATGTTGAGCTATACACGAACCTCATTAAGCCACATAATAACCCCTAAGCCCAAGACTTGCAAAATTTCTGAAGTTCAACAGAAACACCAAACAATGACCATATGTCTAGGGTGTAGAGTTTATGGCTTGACTTTCGGGTTCAGGGTTTAGGGTCTCGGGCTTATGGTGGCTAAAGGTTTATATAGGGCTTGGGGTTTAGGGAGTGAGGGCTTCGGGTTTTCTTTAAGGAGGCCCTGCGCGCGACCTGCGTGCGCGCTTTGGCGCCAACTCAAAAGACGATTTCCACAACTCTTTTGCGATGACTGCGTACTTTTGATGTGGGTTCTTGGAGGTGTGACCTAAACGGAGGATTGGTGGCCCTCACAATCCTTGCTTTATCTTTGCATCATCTCCTCATAGATAGTCCCTGTGTAATCGGAGAGTTAACATGCTCACCCAAGGCCTGCCCTGTCAAAATCACAATCACGTCATACCCATGGGTTCATTCAGGGCTGCAGTTATACACGGCTGAGGTTCCGTGACTCGCCAGTACGCGAGCCCCCGACAAGGCCTTAGGGTTTCCACAGACTTGTCGCTCGCCTCGCCGAAACTCCCAACCTCGTCCATGACAGCCCCGACATAAGTCACCAAAGATGTGCGTATCTGTATCCGTCTGGAGCGCCGCAGGCTTCCACTTCGGCCTCCCTTATAGACCCCGACAAGAAACACGTCGAATAGACCCCCTTTCAAGGAACACTTCAAAGAAACCCTCCCACCTCCACGCCGGCCCTCAGCAGATCTACCTGGGGCACCGTGGGGGCGCACAGGGCATTGGCCGGCACCTGCAAGCTTTTAGGGGTGCTTTTTTTTGGGGGGGGGCTTAGCATTTCGGGCTTTAGGGATTTCGGAGGCGATTTCATGAATGGGGGCTTTATTCAAGGTTTAGCATTTCGGGCTTCGGGGATTTGAAGGGTGCTTTAAAGGGCTCCTGATATTTAGAGGCCTCCTCAGACGAGACGCGAAAGCCCGCAGGCCCTCAGCCTTAAAGACCAAATGAGAGGTTTAGGGTTCCCTGGGGATCCAAAAACCTACCGTTTGAAGGGTCAGACCCTCTAATTAAGGGGTCATAACCTACTATTCTGTAGGGTTTGGGGTCACAGGCAGGGTTTAGGGTCCAGGGTTTAGGATTTAGGGTTTAGTGTTTACGGTATCAAACCCCAGAAAGTTGGAACATGGAACCGATTCGTGTTACGATTCCCCTGAGCCCCAAACCTCAAAACGCTACACTTTGACCGACCAAAACCCCAAGCCGAGAGCTTCATTGACATCTGCACAGAGCTCCTGCCGAGGGTTTTGGGGTTTAGGGATTAGTATTAGGGTCTGGGGTTTAGGGCTTAGGGGGTTTAAGGTTTACGGGGTTTAGGACTTAGGGGTTCAGGGTTTTGGGGTTTAGGGGCTTTGCGGTTTGGGGTGTAGGGGTATGGGGTTTAGGGGTTTAGGGGTTTAGGGTTTAAGGGAAAGAATGGCTAAGCCGGCTACACAAAGTTGCAGACAGCTGTGGCTTGCTGCGCCCTCCTCGCCCCGCTGAACTTCTCCACCCTATCTCCCAGGTTGCCACGGCGCTATCCCCCTGCCCAGAGACTCCAAAATCCCCTGAATTAGTTAAGGAATGCACCTTCAATCATAATTGCGGATCCTACTATAATCTGAGGAATATTCCGTGCTTACCCAGAGGGTCCACAGATACCACCATTACGGAATTAGGTCCCAAGAGACCATGGTTTTGGGGGCTTAATTCCATAATAGTCGTGTATATGGACCCTCTTGGTTAATGGAGGTTGGAGTCTCTGGGTAGCGCCGCCTTTCGGTTTGAAGAAGAAAGGGCACGGACTGGAGGGCCTGGTCAGTCTGGGAGGAAGACCATGTAGCTCCCTTCCTCTTGAACCGCTGGTTTAGTGTCTACCAGCAAACCCCCCCCCAGGCACCCTTTAATAGAGTCCTTAATGGTGGGTATTTAGGGTAGAATCGAGCGTAGTTGGAGGGTGCAGGTTGGGCCTAGGGGTTAGAGTTTGCCGTGGGATAGCATGTAGGCGACAGTATCTTGCGACATAGCTGTGTCGACTGCATCGTGCTATGGCGATGAGCTGTGAAAGCCCGTCAAAAGAAGGCTTGAAGAAAGTCGCCTAAATGAATAGAATAGGGTTTTGGGGCCTATTACACTATAATTACACTAAGGAACCCCCAAAATAGCAAAAAGCTCAGGTACTTAGTTTGGCTCCTATATTGCATTCTTTCTCGCTCACCCCACGCCGGCCCTGCGAGCCCACCACCCTTGACAGGGCACTAAGCCTTTCATAGGCACAGCAAAATCAACAAACCAACTTATCCAAGAATGACAGATAATGCATGCCCTAAACCTTAAACCCTAAACCCCTAAACCCTAAAGATTGTGGTCGCAAGGGATGAGAGAATTGAATTTGAACCAGAGGCGTCTGAATGCAAACCCCGATTTTTCAGGATTTCGAACTCATAAGAACAACAGCACAAGAGGGTTTAGGGTTTAGGCTTTGGACTTTCCCTAAACCCTATAGATCGCTTTAAAGGAACCCTTATAGATCCCTTTGAAGGGAACCATAAACCCCAAAATAGGGGCCTTAATAATTAGAATAGGGTTTGGGGGCATAATACACTATAAGTATAACAGGGAACCTCCAAGACCCTGTTCGAATGATGAATAAAGGCCCCAAAACTCTAAACCCCAAGCCCAAACTCAAACCCTAACACCCCTAAACCCTAAACCCCAAGCCCTAACCCCAAACCCTAAATCCTGAGCCCTAAACCCTAAAGACCATACCCTAACACCTCCAAGGAGTCCCTACCCTATAGATCGCTTTACAGGAACCCTTGTAGACCCCCCTTTCCCTAGGCATCTAAGGACTCATATATTAAGGCCTTTGGGCCCCAAGACTATATTATATGAAGCTTTTGGGCTATTTTGATGCCCGGGATTTAAAGGGAACCCTTCTAGAACCCTAAACCCCCAAACCCTAACACCTCCTAAGGAATCCTTATAGACCCCAAACCCTAACACCTCCTAAAGAACCCTTATAGACCCCAAACCCTAACACCTCCTAAAGAACCCTTATATAGACCCCTTTAAAGGGAACCCTTCTAGAACCCTATAAAATTCCCAAAGCCTCGCACCTCCAGGGAGTCCAGGGCATCGGGCTGGGGACCCAGGGCCAGAAGAATCAGCGGCGACGAGGCATCCGAGGCATCCTGCCCGGCAGGGTTTAGGGGGTTTAGGGGTTTGGGGGGTTTAGGGGTTTGGGGGTTTAGGGGTTTAGGGGTTTGGGGGTTTAGGGGTTTAAGGGTTTGGGGGTTTAGGGGTTTAGGGGTTTGGGGGTTTAGGGGTTTGGGGGGTTTAGGGGTTTGGGGGTTTAGGGGTTTAAGGGTTTGGGGGTTTAGGGGTTTAGGGGTTTAGGGGTTTAGCAGTTTAGGGGTTTGGGGGGTTTAGGGGTTTAAGGGTTTGGGGGTTTAGGGGTTTAAGGGTTTGGGGGTTTAGGGGTTTAAGGGTTTAGGGGTTTAAGGGTTTGGGGGTTTAGGGGTTTAAGGGTTTGGGGGTTTAGGGGTTTAAGGGTTTGGGGGTTTAGGGGTTTAAGGGTTTGGGGGTTTAGGGGTTTTAGGGTTTAGAGTTTAAGGTCCAGGGTATCCGAGGCATCCGGCCCGGCAGGTTTAGGTCTGCATGAGGATGCTCAGAGTTCCTGGTCTAATGCTTTAGAGTTTAGGGTTTAGGGTTTAGGAAGACCAAAAGTTTTCTCTTTAAGGCTTGGTGCCTGTTGTAAAACCCTAAAGTTTTAAAGCCTCAGCTGCCCTGAACCCCAACTCTTGCAAACCCTAGACACCAAACCCCCAAACCATAAACTCTGCCAGTCCCAAAGCAAAGCCTAAACCAACCTCATCCGTGCACCCTAAACCCTGCACCCGAAGCCCTCAACTCTGAAGCCCTAAACCCTAAACCCTCTTCTCTCGCCCTCCTTCGCGCCAAAGGCGTCGAACAAGCCCTGCCATGCAGCTTGGCACTGCTGCTTCCTGAGCCGCTTCCTTCTGTTGGTGATACAAATCCTGCACAACCTTAAGGATCCTAAACTATGAGATTTACGGTATATTCCTTACTATGGGCAATGCAGGATTTAGATCATCAGCCGTTTCTTAAAGCGTTTAGGGTATAGGCCTTCGGGTCTAGGGTTCTTTTCTCAAAGGGGAAAAGGAGGGACCCTTAATGGGGACCCCTACCCTATAATGGGCGCTATAATGGGTATATATTCGCTATATTCAGGGTATATACCTAGGGGTCCTTATTAAGGGTCCCTCCGTTTCCCCTTGGATTTTCTGAATGGCTTAGCGGATAGGGCTTAGGGCTTAGAGTCTCGGTCCTAGGTCTCATAGGGCTTAGGCATGACCTGGGGATCCAAAGACCTACCGTTGCTACTTTAAAGGGGTCTATAAGGGCTCCCTTAAAGGGCTCCTATAAGGGATCCATAGGCTTTGGGGGGTTTTACGGTTCAGGGTTTACCTGGGGATCCAAAAAACCTGCCGGTGTAAGCTTTAAGGGTCAGACCCTCTAATTAAGGGGTCATAACCTACTATTTTGCAGGGTTTGGTGATACAGGGAAGGTTTATGGCTTAGCTTTCGTCGCAGTTTAGCTTTGTTACGCGTCTGGGAAGTTCATGGTAGATGTCTTCGTTCCTGTTTTTCATACAACGACACTACCCGGTAAAGCTAAAACCCTAAACCCTAAACCCTACACCCTAAACCCCAAACCCGGCCCTGCACCTCAAACCCTAAACCCTACACCCTGAACCCTGAACCCTACACCCAAAACCCTAAACTCCATAAAGGCCTCAGGGAGTAGGCCCTCTTTACTTACTTTTTGGATGGTAAGGAATGGAAGAATGATAGTAATAGTAGCTATAATTGTAACCCATTCCTCCATGCCCTACTAACCAAAGGTAAGCTATAAGAATTATTTTCATTCCCTACTACCCAAAGGGAAGTTTAGGATCGAGACGAGGCTCCCTGTGAGACCTTTCCGCTGCGAGTCCGTGCACTTCACGGCCCAACCAAAGTCCTCAGCACGGAGGGGGGTTTAAGGGGTTTAGGGTTTTAGGGTTTAGGGTTTAAGCTTTAAGGGGTTTAGGGTTTCAGGGTTTAGGGTTTAGGGTTTAGGGTTTAGGGTCTAGGGTCTAGGGCTTAGGGTTTAAGGGGTTTAGGGGTTTAGGTTTTGTTAAGGTGTATTGGCTAGGTCTCCTTAGTCTGTTCATTACAGACTCAGGGTTTAGGGTTTAGCGTTCGTTAAAATGCTACTTTCAGGTGGAGACAGCTTTTAAACAAGGGCTTAGGTTGTATTTAGGGATTTGCGCCGCCCGGCGGAAATGTCTTGACGAAGCATTTCTTCTAAGAATTGGGCTTGGCGGCCTCGAACAACGACTCGCCGGGCTCTTCGTGATAGCATGTGACTTGCTCTCATTGTAGATGCGATGGGGTGGAGTTCGAGCTTTGATGGTGTAGCTCGGTTTTCGGTTTGGGGCTTAGGCCTCGGGCGCCAAACGAGCAATGCGAGGACAAGGACGAGGTTCATTAATCAACAAGGGACCATAAGAATAGTGTAGGGGCCTTCACAATTGTAACAGGGCTTTTGTGTACATGGCACTACGGCATAGTAGAACCTTTCTATGGAATAGACTGATAATTACTCAAGCCTCTACGTATGTTAAGGATTCCAGCGAGGCTTCTATGAGTATAACTTCCTCAAGCACCCTTAGGCCAAAATCCCAAATCCTCTACCACGTCAGAGAGCCCTGTGAAAAAGATCGGCCACATAAACCATAAGCCCCGTACCCTTTAAACTAACCCCTGCTCTCAGTGTCGGGGGACTTACTAAGTTGGCTTGCTGAAACATTTTAAGTACCATAACCCCAACCAGGATCCCTTCTATTTTCGGGTACTTATAATGACCAGAACAAACGATATTTCATGCCTTCACACGCGGCGGTCCTCGCGGAGCACGGGCTCGCGCAGAATCCAGCCGATGTGGTCCGCGAAGCTCCACGAGCTCGCGAATCCTTTGCCCCACGCCGGTCGCACTGGCATTGCCAGCACGTCGGCCGCGAGAGCGCCTTCGTCGCCCCACGGAAATTCCACCTGCCGCAACTACGCACAGCCCTTCCTTGCCACCGCTAAATCACTCCCGGCCGGGTCCACCGCGCAGAGGCAGCTGTCGGACACCACCAGGTCGAAGTCCTCACAAACCCCACTTATGCATGCCGCGAGGCGCCGCTGCGTTTCCTCGGCCTTGACGTAGTCTTTGATCAGCTCTGTCACAACTTCGATACCGGCATGACTCAAATGAAGGCCGTCCGCATAGAAAGGCGTGCCTGTACATGCTCCGACTGAACACTCGACACTTGCCGAGTACGATAAGTCTGCCTGGGGTCACCGCTTCGCCGAAGATGTCCGCGACGGCCTTGTTGCGGTCTGCTGCCGCCGCCGCGATGATCTGGCCGGCCGACCACGCTCGGCAGCGGTTCAACCCTCGGAAGCAGTGCCCCCGTCGAACCTCGTACTTGACGGCTTTCTCTCCGGCCATGGCCTCGGAACAGCGACATTCAATCAGCCGGTCTCAAGCTCTCCATGCCAGCCTCGAGCGAAACAAGGAGTGTGCCACTGACCCACTGCAGAACGCGTGTGCGAGGAGCTGCTCGAGCCGCAAGACGGACCCATGATTGAACCCGAAAACTTCTGGATTGCTGTTGGGCAGCCAGCCATGGTTGAATCGAAAACTTCTGAATTGTTGTTGGGCAGACACCCATGGTTGAACCGAAAACTTCTGAATTGTTGTTGAGCACCCACCCATGGTTGAAGCGAAAACTTCTGAATTGTTGTTGGGCAGCCACCCATGGTTGAACCGAAAACTTCTGAATTGTTGTTGGGCAGCCACCCATGGTTGGACCGAAAACTTCTGAATTGTTGTTGGGCAGCCACCCATGTTTGAACCGAAAGCTTCTGAATTGTTCTTGGGCAGCCACCCATGGTTGAACCGAAAACTTCTGAATTGTTGTTGGGCAGTCACCCGTGGTCGAACCGAAAACTCCTGAATAACTCCTGAATTGTTCTTGGGCAGCCACCCATGGTTGAACCGAAAACTTCTGAATTATTGTTGGGCAGCCACCCATGGTTGAACCGAAAACTCGTGAATTGTTGTTGGGCAGTCATCCGTGGTTGAATCGAAAACTCCTGAATGGTTCTTGGGCAGCCACTCATGGTTGAACCGAAAACTTCTGAATTGTTGTTGGGCAGTCACCCATGGTTGAACCGAAAACTCCTGAATTGTTGTTGGGCACCCACCCATGGTTGAACCGAAAACTTCTGGTTCGCTCATCCTGAACCTGTATGGTGCCAAAGAAAAACTACAAATTTCCCTACATTTCTGGCCTTCGTTGCATTCACGTGGTTGCGTCGCAGTCTTTTGAAATCTTTAGCGACGGCTCGCCCGACCTTTGGGACATCCAAGATGTCCCGGGAATGTCAGCCCCCCTTCCCGAGGGAAGGGATGCTGCCGCGGTTTCCCAGGCCGCGGCCCCCGTCGAAACAGGGGGGTTGGTAACCCGGTTTGCCCCACCGGGAATGACGACAAAGAAGACAGGGCGACCACGGAACGCGAAACGACAGCAAAGAAGAGACGTAGTTAGCATGCACCACGACGAGGACAACGACGATGAACGCAGTACACATACGAGAAAGACCAAATTCCAATATAATTGTATTCTACGAAGAAGTCTATTTCCAATCACAAAGAAATCGTACGTCCCAAACTTAGTCCATAACGTCCTCACAACACTTGTGCACGCAGTCGGATTTCCAGACTTCACAACGTACCGCAGATTATCGCTACATCTACATACATAATGGTGACACAGGGAATGTAGAAAATCAGTTGGTTCACGTATATATATATATATATGTATGTATGCACATACACATATGTAAATATCTAGTATATATGTGTATATATTCCTTTGACAGAAGAAGTGTATATATTCATATGTATATATATAGAGATGTAAACACCGGACAAATAGACGAGAAAGACAAAATTCAATATAATCTATTTGTACGAATAAACACGTTTCGCATTGTAAAGACGTACTCTGTTGCAAATCTAATCGATGACGTAATCTGAACACTGGTTTCACGTGGTCGTATCCGCATTCTTAACCAACGAACCCCGGATTATCGCTACATCTAAGTTCCAAATAGCGGCATGTACAATGGAGAAATCTTGCTAAACCATGTAGATGTATATATATATATATATATATATATATATATATATGTATATGCATGTGTATATATATATATATATATATTTATAGTTTACATGGGTACATCAACCTCGTACACGAATCGTAAATGCAAGTACAGATTTACACATCCATGTGTATGTACACGTATAACATGCTCCTTCGTCTTGAATGGTTGTATCTGCGATAAACTAGACATGCATCGATTATGTTTGAAATTCTGTAATCCACATATACGCAAATGATTGTTTTTCCGTAATCAAGCACGATACTGCAGGTCCTCACCCCTCGCTCAGGCTCAGTCCCAACGTCCACCTGCAGAGTTGGTTGTGCTTAGGGCTGCACTCGAAGAAAACCCTCACGACTAGACTGAGGCGGAGGCTGCCCGGCCAAAGCACGTCAGGAAGCATGTGGTCCATTCCGCCCTTGGAGATGTTTTCCCTGCGCGAAGCAAGACTTAAGCGAGCATAAGCAACCAGAAATCCTGCAACCGAGGCCGTAGCACGGGCTCGCCGATGAACTCCGCCCAGTATTCGATCTGCCTGCAAAGCAAAGAAAGCGGCTAAATACAAACGTTTACCAACTTATTGGCCTCAGGCGGAAGGCCACCACCAATTCCACGCCGACGAGGAAAGGATCATTGGTCGTGGTGGCATAATTGTCGAGGACCTCGATCAGCCAGGATTCCGTCATGAAACATTGCACTTTCACCGGCCTTGCCGTAGAAGTCGTAAATCCGGGCCCCTAGCAATATGGAAGATCGTTTGTTACGCTTGTTAGCAAACTGGCCTTGATCGACGTTCTGCAAGAAGGCTTTCTCGCGCTTACAGACCTGGTCGCACAAAATTGTTCTGTGCTCGGATTGTGTCACTCCATATCACCACTACTCACTAAGCCCCCCGACAATCTCTAAACCCTAAACCCCTCAACTCTGAACCCTACCTGCATCCCCAAACCCTACAAAATAGTAGGTTATGACCCCTTAATTAGAGGGTCTGACCCTTAAAACTTAAAACGGTAGGTTTTTTGGATCCCTGGTGAACCCTAAGCCCTAAACCCCCAAAGCCTGTAGATCCCTTATAGGAGCCCTTTAAGGGAACCCTTATAGACCCCTTTTAAAGTATCGAGCGCGGGGCTGGGCTGTCTCCCGTGATGGCGGTGCCCATGCTGGCCAGGACCACTCGGCGCCCGGCTGCCCGGGCTTTCTGCAGCTCCTCGCGAGGCTTTGCTTCAGGGTTTAGAGTTCAGAAGGCTTTGGGCTTTGGGTTTAGGGTCCCTAAACCCTGAAGCCTAAACCCTAAACCGTTCAGGGTTTAGAATTTAGAAGGGTTTCGGGTTTGGGTTCAAGGCTTCAAGGGTATAGGGGTTTGAGGGGTTCCTTCTACCCTGCATCCTAAACCCTGTTAGGGTTCCTTCATGGGTTTCTAGAAAGGATCCGTAAGGCCTAGGAGGCAGGATTCCAAGGAATGTACGCACGAATGTCGCCGATGCGCAACGACAACTTCGTTGGCGGACGTTCGATTCTCGCGTTATGACCCGCGAGATCCGTGAAATCTTCAAAAGGCGCTGCATTCAGCATGAGGTCGCGACGTCCAGAGAGCTCGTTCAACAAGGCATCGACAAGCCCTTCCTTCTCCGCAAAATGGAAGAGCTCCTTTGCAGTGTTCCACACCTTACTTTCGCGCTCAGTGATCAGCTCCGCCATCAGAAGCAATTCCACATTTTGCTTCGCGCTGAGCATGAAATGCAAGAAAGCATTTGACAGTGTTCGCCGAACATCTGGGACAATGTAGTAGCCGCCATTCCACATGGCCAAAGGGTCAACCTTGCGGATCTGGAGAGCCGCACCGAATGTGTTCTTCACTTCTTGAACCTGTTTGGGGCCTTTGGGTTGGGTTCCTTAGGAAGAGTCAAAGGGGAAAAGGAGGGACCCTTAATAAGGACCCCTAGGTATATACCCTTAATATAGCCATTATATACCCATTATATAGCCATTATATAGCCCATTATAGGGTAGGGGTCCCCATTAAGGGTCCATCCTTTTCCCCTTTGAAAGAGGTGTTTGAGAAAGGATTGAAGCCCGGCTTCGTCGGGATTACGAGCTTCGAGCCTCGAGCTTTCGGCTTCCAGGGCTTATCATCGGGGCCTCAATAATTAGAACAGGGTTTTGGGGGCCCATTATACCATATTTATCATAAGAGTCGGGCTTATGGGCCTTCAGTGCTTTCATACAGGGGCCGTAATAATTAGAATTAGGTTTTGGGGCCCATTATGCTATAACTATAATAAGAGACCCCCACCCAAAAAAAAATAGTATTGGTAGTTACTTAGGGCCCTATAGTAATGGTGTCGGTTGCTTGGCATGGCTCTCCAACTGGGTTTGCAGGGGTTTTGATTGTAGCCATTATACACTGGGGCTTGGCTTTTGTGGCGGTGTCCGTTTAAGTTGTTGATTTTAGGGCTCGTGGGTTTAAACTGCGGCTCAATACCCAAAGTTGAATACTACGTTAAGATGGGTGTGCTAAGCAGGGTGTTGTGAAGGCACGTGGAAGTAAAGCTACACCTTCTCACGAGGGATGTTTGTGTGTGTGTTGATGGCTATCGAAACTGAACTTCTAAGCCCACACCCTAAACCTTACAACCCTCAGTTCTAAACCTCCAAACCTGAATAAACTCTCAGTATTCAAACCTTCACCAATTTATTCCCCCAAGACATTTCCACGAGAAGCTGGCTGGTGCCCTTTCTGGAATGCTTTTGGGATGTTGGGCCTCAGGGTGTCGGGTCTCTAGGGTTGCTTAGGTCCAAGGGGAAAAGGAGGGACCCTTAATGCGGACCCCTACTCTATGAGGGTATATACCTAGGGGTCCTTATTAAGGGTCCCTCCTTTTACCCTTGGATTAAGGCTTCAATAAACGCAAAAAACATAGATCCCCAACTTCCCCCAAGCCTTTGGGGAGGTTAGGCCCCCAGCTCAACAGTCTAAGGGCCCCCAGAGGAATATACCTTAAATCATAGTAGGATCCCTGATATTCATAATTACAGGATATTCGAGTCTCAGGGTACTACTACAGACACTCCATAGACACTCCTCCCCCCGCCAATAAGACTCTTTCAAGAAAGCCTAACCCCAAGAACCGAGAACACTAAACCAGCCCACTAATCTCGGGACCTTCACATTTAGAATAGGGTTTTGGGGCCCTTTATACTGTAATTTCTAGTAAGGAGCCCACAAAATACTATTGGTAATTTAGGCCCCTATAGTAAACCCCAAGAATAAGAAACCCTAAGCAGGCCACTACTCGCTCCTGCATGGGATCTGGCCGTGCCGAACAGGATCCTGGCTCCTGGTCGACCCGGTTTAGGGGTTTAGGGGTTTAGGCGGTTTTGGGGGTTCAGGGTTTCGGGATTCTGGGGGTTTAGGGGTCTAGGGGTTCCGGGTTTTAGGATTTCGGGTTTTTTGGGGTTTTAGCGTTCTGGGGTTCAGGATGGACGGTTTAGGGCATATCTAAAGCCCTCAGATCTATTCCTGAGCGGCCCTGAACCCTACATGAACCCCTAGATCCTAAATCCAAATTCAATCCCAAACCCTACTAAGACCTAAACCCCAAAGCCTACAAGCACGGAAGCAGGCATGAGGGGACTTCGGGTTTGAAACATGCGATCAAAGCAGTGGGCCGCAACCTCAGGAAAGCATGTGCATAGCAGACCCTGATTCTGAGGATCTAGGGTTTTTGGGCTAGAGGTAGTTCTGCCTGGTCTGTTTTTCAGAGTGGCGTGGAGGCTTTGCAGAGAAATCGACCAGGGCGTTTAGATGCGGAAAGATCTTCCAGGAATATGCCTTAAATTACAATAGGATCCATGATACGATTTTAGGCATATTCCTTATAGGGGCCTTGGGGCATCTGGGTGCAGCGGGAGCATGTTATGAACAGAGGCAAGCGTGCGGACAAAACCCCAGCAGTCTGCGGCAGAGGGCCATACTATAAGGTCAGCACAAAACCCAAACCTAAATCGTAGTCCAAACCCTAAACCCTAAACCCTAAACCGTGTAGTCTAAGGAATCTCTGGCACCAAACCTTCCCCCAAAAAAACACATGAAATTCTGTCGCAAACAGACTTGAAACCCCTTTCAATCAGTACAGGTGCCCTAAAAAACAAAGCGTATATCACCATGATACTAAAAACTTGGAAACATTGTAAAACCTCATTCTCATCATATGTGGTATAAAACTGTACATCGTGAACCCGAAGCCCTAGCCCCCAAAACTCACAAAACCCCTAACCCCCTGCCCCTACAGTACAGTAAAGAATTTCTGCCCCTGAAGGCGCTCACATGGGGTTCTCACACTCAAGCGCACCAGACTCTCAACACTGAGCTTCGCCTTATGCTCAATCTTGAAATAGCATTCAGCCCAATAAACCACGTTCCCGTAAGACCCTGTGAAGACCCCAGAATTAATTATGTTAAACCCTAAACCCCAAACCCTAACCCACTAAACTCTAAAGCCTAAACACCGAAGCCCTAAAAGCCTAAATCCTAAACCCCAGCTAAGCCATCCCCGCTCCTCTTGCTCCAGATACTTGTACCCTCCAGCGCGAACGGCGCCAGCCTCCCGACTGCACTTAGAGGTTCATGGGGACGTAGTATCTAGGGTTATAAGGGGCTCCTTAAAGGGTTCCTCAAAGGGGATCTATAAGGGTTCCTTAAAGGGATCTATAGGGTTTAGGGTTTAGGGTTTACTTAGAGGTTCATGGGACGTAGTATCTAGGGTTATAATTACACTTAAATGTACTTATAAACCCAATTAGGGTACTTATAACTGTACTTACCACAGCAAACCCCAAAAAGTTGGAAACCGGATTAAGGACAAATAGTGCTGGGATTTCCTCTACATTACTCTTAAGGATTGAGGCTATTGGGTTTCCAACTTTTTGGCTTCTACTGTAAGTCCCATGAACCGTCAAGTAGAACCCTGAACCCTAAACCCTATAGATCCCTTTAAGGAACCCTATGGATCCCTTTAAGGAGCCTGTTCAAGGAGCCCTTTTTAGGTACTTACTAAGCCCCATGGGAACCTTCAAGTAGAGTGCGGGGATGGGAAGTTCGAGGCTGGGGGCCCAACAAGGGTTTAGGTTTTTGTTTTTTTTTTTGCGGGCCCTTTTCCGACTGCATTACCAGAGGGAATACCTTACCAGGTGGAGCCTATGTTGGGAGGGTTTAGGGTTTAAGGTTCAAGGTTTAAGGTTCAGGGTTCAGGGTTTAAGGTTCAGGGGTGAGGGAACCTAGAAAGACGAAGAGCAAACAGGTACACCTAGGAGGCTGTAGGGACCAGAGAAGAAGCGTTTTATTCGAAGGACCATGGATCTTAGCGAGTAGGGTTATATGGTCATTATACGATTTTTATTACTATTACTGTTATTATTATCTTATTATTATATGGACAAGGTAAAAAATATAGTCACGATCACTTAACGTACACCAAATCCTAGGTTCCTGAGTAGCCGCTTTATGTTACAAGGGCACCCTTTTTCCAACCCTTCGGCTGTAGTAAGGATGCCTTAAAATGAAAATGGCAAAAAAGGTACTACTCAGAAACCTAGAATGCCGTGATCCTCCAAGCATCTACGTGAGGTGTTGTCGTTGGCTGTAAGTCCGCCTATGGGAGCTGGAAAATCTTCACCTGAGGCCCCGAAACCCCGGTATATATATACATATATATATATATGTATATATACAACCCCCCACGGAACCCTCCTGAAACCATATACAATCCCTACTGTATGTGGCACGACTATTCGATGCTGCAGAACACCTACAAACTCCTCTAACACCCTATGGAAAACCCCCCACGCCTGGTCTAAGAGCGGGCCGACGAATGCGAAACGGGTGTTGGACTCGCGGTAGATGGCCGCAAGCTCGGCAGGCATTGGAACCTGCATGTCCTTCAAGACAGGGCACCCAACAGAGCTGCTCCTTTCAAAGGGGAAAAGGAGGGACCCTTAATGGGGACCCCTACCCTATAATGGGCTGCATAATGGGTATAAAATCGCTATACTGAGGGTATGTACCCAGGGGTCCTCATTAAGGGTCCCTCCTTTTCCCCTTTGATTCTTTGTCTTGAAAAGCTCTGACCATTTAGGCTACCATACAAGATTGCCAAAGCTGTATGCGCAGGGAGCTTTTGTCTATGAGCTCCCAGATTTGACAATTCATTGACAACAAGAAGACGTGATCCTATCCAAAAGTACCTGTCACTCGGCTGAGTCCTTTATGTCACCCCCTGACATTGGTATCAATATGAACAAAAATGATGAACAAAGTAATTCTTAAGGAGACTATAGCTGTTGTTTTTGATATACCTTAGAAGCTGCCCCCACCCTGTAATAGTGACTATATGGATTATATTAGGGCCCCTATTATATTCATATTTTACCACGATTACAGGGTGGGGGCCCCTTCTAAGATATACCCTCGCAACCCCTTATCTGTCTCTCGCTACTACGTCCCATGAACCTTCAAGTGTAAGGTAAAAGCCAGAAAGTTGGAATATGATGATCCTAACCCTTCTATGGTAAATTATAGGGTATCCTACCATGAAACCATATTCCAACTTTCTGGAGTTTCCTATAGGGTTCCAGCACACGTGTTCGAAGGCCTCCCCGGGATGCTCGACCCTATAACCCCTAGACCAAAGGCCCCGTCTGACTTAATATCGGGGCCTTAAGACTTACGACTTAGAATAGGGTTTTGGGGCGTAGGAATTATACTATTTTTTACCGTTTGGAACCACCCAAATAGTGTAGGTAATTATTTTGGCCGCTATATTACTTACTTACTTGAGCGCCTCGCAAGTAGTCACCAGGGTCAGGACGCTCTGCGAGATCGAATCCACGGCGCCCTGGGACCGGAGGATCAAATCCTCGCCGTGCGAGCGACAAGGTCTAGGCCCCAAACCCAATGCCCTACTTAGAAAATCATGGGATTCAGTAAGTACAGTTGTAAGTACCGTAGTTGGAGTTATATTTACAACTATAGTTACCTTACGCATAACCCTACCTGGACCCTAAGGAACCTACCCTTTTAGGGTTCCCTAATATGATTTCTTTATATAAGTCCTTGAAAAGGTAGGTTACTTGGGGTTAAGGTAATGTAAGGCCTTAAAATTGACAATTAGAAGGGGCCCCCACCCTGTAATAGTGGCATAATAGGAATATAATAGGGCCCTAATATGATCCTTATAGTCACTATTACAGGGTGGGGGCAGCTTCTAATGTAGGGCCTTAAAATTAACAATTAGGGTAGGGTTCCTTTTGAAGGCTGGCTTCCTTTAAAGGGCTCTATAAGGGATCCATAATTAGGCTCTATAAGCTAGGCGCGTTAATCATTAGAATAAGGTATTGGGGCCCATTATACTATGCTTATAATAAGGAACCCCCATCGAAATCTCCGAACATCCAAATAAGAAGGACTCAGGGTTTAGGGACCCAAAATAGTATTGGTAATTTTCAAGGCCCAAAAATTATAGTAGGGGTTAGGGATGTCTAGGGTTTGAGGATGTCTCGGGTTTAAATCATCTTTAAGGTTTGGGTGATATTCCGCGTTTGGGGAGGTCTAGGACTTAGGGTTTTCTTAAGGGTTTTTGGGATGTTTAGGGTTTAGTGTAGAGCTCAAGGATGCTCAGGGCGTAGGGGTTCTTGCGGTCTAGAGATTCTCAGTGTTTAGGGTTCAGGGATGTAAGATCATGTTGTACCAGTGCCTTGTCTTCGAGGGTCTTTGCATGGTGCTATAAGCATTCGTGCCAAAATGGATTTATCAGCTTTTATAAGGGCTTGATAGTGATTGGTAATTAGTGCCCTGCCGGCTTCCGGTGAAATGGAGGGGTTAAAACCATCTATTCCGGGATAGACCCTGCCTTCTATTCTCTGTTGCTCCAGCAATGCGGTCTACGACCTTAAACCCTCAAAACACTAAACCCTAAACCCTAAACCCTAAACCCTAAATAAACCCCAAACCCTAAACCCTAAACCATAAACCCTAAACTCCAAAGCCCTCAACCTAAACCCTAAAACCCTGAACCCTAAGCCAACGAAGGTTCAGGGTTTAGGGTTTAGGGTTTAGGGTTTAGGGTTTAGGGTTCCTCAGAAGACTACTCCACGAGGAACCTAAGAGGTGCCCTGAGCCCTATTAGGAACCTTAAAGCCCTAAACCCTTTTAGGAACCTAAGCTCCTAAACGCTTTTAGGAACTGCCTAAACCGTGTTAGGAAACTGTGACAGAAACCTAAGCTCCTAAACTCTCTTTGGAAACCTAAACCCTTTTAGGAACCCCGAAAAGGTGTCCATGAGGTTCAGCATCTGCACCCCGTAGGCACTTTCAAGGCGCTCCGCGGCCTTCCAAGCAACAAAGCTCAAGAAGTTAGGGATTCCTGTACGGGTTCCTTTAAGGGATCCTTCAAGGGTTCGTTTAAGGGATCTATAGGGTTGAGGGTTTAAGTCTTTTTGGGGGGTGGCTTTGTAAAATGCAGTGGGCCTTTCCCGCAAACTCGCGACGACCCTGCCTGTTGCAGTATTGACCAGACTCCCTCACTGCCTCACTGGTTAAAGCAGCAGAGGTATCACCAAAGTGGGTTTAGCGTCGAGTGTTTGGGGTTGGAATATACTTGTGTTGTGGGGTTTTAGAGGGGTTTACAGGGTTCTGAGGGTTCCATAGGGCTCTACAGTGATGTTCCAGCAGCTTTTTTGAGATTACAGCGTTTTTGCATACGGGCCTTAACAACTATAACTAGAGTAAGGATTTGGCGTATATTCCACAAAAAACCCAGCTTAAAAGCCCTCCCAGGCCCCATATCAGGGGTTCTAGACATCCAGAAGGCTTCAAGAAGGGTTGTTAAGGGGGATCTACAGGGAACTCCAGAAAGTTGGAATATGGTTTCAGGGTAGGATACCCTATAATTTACCATAAAAGGGCTTAGGATAATCATATTCCAGCTTTCTGGCTTTTACTTCACAAGGCTTCTGCAACAGTGACGCAACCGAGACCTCCCAAGAACCCCTAACATGCCCTAAATGCCCATACTGCTGATGGACAATATCCTGCATGACCCTAAGGACTCTAAACTATGGGAACTATGGTATATTCCATATAATGGATAATGCAGGATTTTGTCCATCAGCCGAAGTAAGCATCTTACCCATTATAAGGAATATACCATAGTTCCCGTAGTTTAGAGTCCTTAGGGTCATGCAGGATATTGTCCATCAGCAGTATCAACGGTTGAAACCATGGGCCCCTGGTATGGGCCCTTAACCTTGGGATCCTTGAATACCTACTAGAGAGCCGATATAGACTCTTAAGGGTCCCTAGAACTCCCTCAAAAAGGCCTCAGGGTCCATATTAGGGGCCCATTCTTCTAACCTTAGACCTTAATTAAGGACCATAAGGGCTCTATTAAAAGGTACTGGGGGGTGCTGGAGGGGGCCTGGGGGTTTCGAGGTTTGGGGTTCGCGGCTGTTGGGCTTCGGGTTCGAAGTTACCCGAGATAAAGGATGTTATCTGGGTTCCCGAGTAACCCCATTTTGTAAAGTAAGGGGACCCTGAATCAAAAGAGCAAAAGGGTACTACTCAGGAACCTCGAAGATGTTGTACAGGGTTTTAGGGTTTGGGCTTTCGGGCGCTAGGGTTTTTGGGCTAAAGCAAGCAATACCTGTAACCCAAAGACCTAATTTTTAACCAGGAATCGTAAGACTGCAGATTGTGTAGGCCGCAGTATCCTTTGGTGCGCAACCTGGCTCTGTAAGCAACAGATTTCGGGTGTCTCAACCACGAAAAACCCTAAACCGAACACCCCCCCCTCCCCCACCCCTTTAAGTAACCTCTCAGAGCCCTTAACTGCGATTCCTACCAACAGAACTCTCAAACCCTAAACCCTAAACTCCTAAACCCTAGCACTGGACCCTAAACCTGACCAGAACCCAAGAAAAGGGGTTACTCGAGTCGAGTCTCAACAGTTATTTTAGGGTTTACGGCTTAGGGTTAAAAACGTCAAGAAGCATCGTAATCATGAGAACACCAAATCACAAGAAGAACAGCAATAGTAACAGTCACTGTCACAGCAGTAATAACGGCAATAAGTATGCAAGCAGCAAGCATAAAAGCCTTCAAGCCAAACCAATCGTACTGGCGATCAAACCAGAGGCAAGCTCAAAAAGACGGCATGCTTGGAGACCCTAGACTCCAATCGTGTAAACCCTAAAAACGAAGGAGCAGCAATGTAGTGGCCGAAACAATTAGACTGGGGTCGGGGGGGGCTGTTGCACAACAACTGTGTGTACGAAAGCCTGAGGCATACAACTCGAAACCCTAAACCCTAAACACTTGAGGGGCCCCTGTAGCAATCAAGTCATATTGTAGAGCTACTAGTATCACGAGAGTAATCCCTGTAGAGCCCCTCCTAAACTTACTGAAGGCCCATATACTACCTTACTACTTGCTCAGTATCCTACGAGAACTGAAGGCCAACCTTTGGGATTATATAGGGGCTGCAGTACCCCAAACAGGTTCAATCTTACCTACTCTACTAGTGGATACCATAGGGGCCTGAATTAAAATGGTGTTTTGGGGACCATGATACTATAATTATAACAAGGAACCCCCCAATATAGTATTGGCAGTTATTAAAGACCCAACTACAGGAACCCTTATAGACCCTTACAAGAACCCGTTTAAGGAACCCTTAAAATAGTATTGGGGCCCTATACTAGGATGCCCAGTAACCTAGAAATGAAAAGGGCTCCCTTTTTGGTAGTGGGTAACTTTATAAGGAACCTAGGACTACGAAAAGGGAACAAGGGTACTACCGGGAATCCTGGATCAAGTAGACCCTAAACCCTAAACTAAACCCTATAGATCCCTTTAAGGAACGCTATAGATCCCTTTAAGGAGCCCTATAGATCCCTTTAAGGGGCCCTTTACTAGCGTATTGCTGGGCATAGCATTTTCTGGCCTCCCCAAAAGGCTGGAAACGCTTTGCCGGCTCGATGGTCTCCTTCGCGCAAACAGGAAATGGAGTTGGGTTGAGGGTGTAGGGTTTAGGGGTTTAGGGGTTTGGGGGTGTAGGGGTTCAGGGGTTGAGGGGTTTGGGAGTTTAGAGGTATAAGCCCCAAAATGTGTACACTTTTAGTTTTGCAGTGGGTACTATTATCCCAAAAAGTGTAAAGTGTATCCACTCGGCTACTAAGAACAGAATGGGGTTGGGCTGTGGGTTTAAAGGGTGGTGGGCCTCGAGCAAAGGTGTTTAGAGTTTAGGGTTTAGCTTTTGGGGCTGTTTTTCTCAGTGTGGGTGTGGGTGCAGTGTGTGCGTAAGTAACGAGTCCCTAAACCCTAAACCCTAGTCGAATCTCCTCGATGGTGAGGCCGCCCAGCAAGTGCCCCACCATGGCATCCACACTGCCGGGGCCAGCGGAAGTGAGGAGGGGAACCTGATGCTGCGGAGTTTCAAAAGGAATGTCTCGGGTTTCGTAAGGGGTCTTTAGGTAGGGCTTTGTACAGATCTAACGGTTTGACTTGTTGTGTTTTATTTCGTTGTAGGGCGTTTCGGGTTTAGTTTTAAGGTTTTTTAAAGTTCAAGGAGGGTCCTACTTCCATGGGTTACACGAGTTCTACAGGGATCATGGGCTCTTGTTTGGTACAAAGTATACAACAAATTAAAGTTCCAAGGGTAAAAGGATGGACCCTTAATAAGGACCCCTAGGTATATACCCTTAATATAGCTATTATATACCCCTTATAGGGTAGGGGTCCCCATTAAGGGTCCCTCCTTTTCCTATTTGAAAAGTAAGAGATGAAACCCCTAAACCACGGAGAGGACCCCAAGCCTCGATACAGCCGCATCAATCTCAAAAGCCGCATAAAAATGTACATAATCTAGACCCAAGAGTGACCTAGGAATAAAAAGGGTGCCCTTTTTGATTTAAAGGGGCATATAAGGGAACCTGAACCCTTAAAAAGGGGAATAAGGGCCTACTCCAGGTCCTAGTAATGCAGGGGCCTTAGATTTTTTTGGCGTGTTGCATTATATAATTCTCATAGGGAATCCCCCAAAATAGTATTGGTAACTATTTTGGCCCCAAAAGTACATGGACCCGATATCAATACTCACACAACCCGCATCCCACAGCCCGAAATCGTGGACGAAGCACTGTCGGGATGCCCAAAATCTTGGCGGCGTAGAAGGCCTCCTTGCTGATCCTGGTTAGGTTTAGGACAGTTTAGGTTTTGGGGTGTATGGTTTCAGGCTTGGGGCTTCAAGTGAGGGTTTATAGGTAGGGCAAAACAACTTGTTCACAGAGCTCACAAAATTCTGGGCTGTGTTGGGTTCAGGCTTCACATCTTTTGGTTTTTGGACTGGGTGTTCACGGATTTCAAGATTTTCGACGCTTGATCTCCCGCTTCTGAGCTCACCGTTCTTGAGGACCTGATGCCTACTGGCTTCAGGGTTGAGGGTTTTCAGGTGTAGGGTTTAAGGGTTTACCTGGTCTCACATCTCGCAGTTTAGCTTATTGCTTCAGTCATATTGGATCCCGAAGCAGTTTGAGCTCGGAACATATGGGTAGGGTTGGAAGGACCATTAATAACCCCTTCTAGAACCCTAGCCTTAACACTACGGTTATAAGAACCTATAACCCCGGATAGAACCCTTACGGGACACATCATAACCCTGAACCCGTAAACACCATAACACTATAACCCTAAACCCTACAACCCTAAAACCTAAAACCCCATAAACCTAAACCCGAAACCCTAAACCCTAAAACCCAAAGCCCTAAAAACCTAAAACCTAAACCCCAAACCCTAAAACCCAAAACCCTATAAACCCTAAACCCTAAAACCCAAAACCCTATAAACCTAAACCCTAAACCCTACTTGGAAGGGCAGGGGACTTAGTAAGTAGGTTATATGTAGGGTTATAATTGGGGTAACTCCATTTAGGGTACTTATAACTCTACTTATAACCTACTTACTAAGTCCCCTGCCCTTCCAAGTAAACCCTAAAACTCTAAACCCCAAGCTCTATACCCTAAACCCTAAACCCTAACCCTAAACCCTAACCCCAAAAGTCTATAACTCTAAACCTTAAACCCTAAACCCTAAACCCTAAAAGTCTATAACTCTAAACCCTAAACCCTAAACCCTAAAAGTCTATAACTCTAAACCTTAAACCCTAAACCCTAAACCCTAAAAGTCTATAACTCTAAACCTAAACCCTTCAGGTCACCCTTTTCACGAGTTCCGGGGCGAGTTTAGGTTTTCAGGGCCAGGGCAACAAAGGCTTCGGGTGTCCTTTAAAGGGACCTCTAAGGGTTTCCTTTAAAAGGATCTATCAGGGCGTCCTTTAAAGGGATCTCTAAGGGTTTCCTTTAAAAGGATCTGTAACCCAGAGGCTCTAAGGACTCATCTTTTAAGGCTTTTGGGCCCAAAGACCATACTACATGAGGCTTTTGCGCTATTTTGAGCCTTAGGGTACTTGGAGGGTCGGGGGACTTAGTAAGTAGGTAGTAAGTAGACTTATAAGTACCCTAAAAGGGACCCTAATTGGGGTTATGGTACTTATAAGTCCCCCAAAAATAACCAGTTACTAAGTCCCCCTAAACCCTAAACCCTTATAGAATCCCTATAGATCCCTTTAAAGGACCCCTTTAAAGGAACCCCCTTATGGTTACTAAGTCCCCCGACCCTCCAAGTAAGGGTTCCCCTAAAGGAATCCCGAAGGCTTTCCTTCAACAGGATCTATGGGGTTCCTTTAAAGGGATCTAGAGGTTTAGGGCTTCGGGGCTTAGGTTCAGGGCTTATAGTTTAGGGTTTAGGGGTTTAGGGGTTTAGGGTTTAGGGTTTAGGGTTTAGGGTTTAGGGTTTAGGGTTTAGGGTCTAGGGGTTCAGAAGTTCAGCGTTTAGGGGTTTGCAGAGGTTCAGACGGGTTTTGAGGGGTTCAGGGGTTAGTTTCGGGTTCAAGGCTTTGAGGTTCAGTGGCTGAGGTTCAAGGGTTTAGATTAGAGGGCTGGGAAAAGCAACACTGTTAAGAAAGCATGCGAAATCAAGAGCCGAAAGTTGCGAGAAAACTAAAACCGTAACCCACTGCAAAAGCTATAACTAATCTACTAAACTACTCTACAAACCGACTTCCCTTTGACAACATCGGGCTCCGGGGGACACTGATTCCCGCCAGGCTGCAAGGGGCAAAAGACGGTCAGGTGCGGCCGAACTCGCCGCATCCAGCGCAGCACGCCTGGCTCCCCAAGATCCTTAAGGGTTCCTTTAAGGAAACTATAGGGTTTAGGGTACATAAAGACTCCAATATCCCTTAATTACAAGGAATATTCCTTAAATTATAGTAGATCCCTACTATGACTTAAGGCACGTTTTGATTACGGGATATTGGAGTCTCGGGCTCGAGTCTGAGTCTACGGCTTAAGGGTTTTTGGGTTCCTTAAAAGGGGATCTGTAAGGGATACTGTAAGGGCTCTATGATATAGGGGCCTTAATAATTAGAATAAGCTTCCGGGGCTCCTTAACGGTATCTACGGCTCAGGAACTTAACTCTTAAGTGCTCTCAAGCGTAAATTTGATTAGGTTTCGCAGAAACTTGCAAGGTTTGTGTGAAGAGCTTACGCGGGGCTCTTGGGTCAACCAAACTAATTTGTTTCATCTACCAGCAGTAGGGATGGGCTTACGGCTTAGGGCATCGCAGGCCCCAGACACCAAAACCCAACATCCTCCGAACATGCAGAATTTTAAGGACATCATGCCCTGCAAAATTCCTAGTTGTTACAGTCCTCCAACTGCGACAGCTAGACCCCGCATCTTACGCCTTGCCTTTCACCCTGAAACCTACTTAAAGGATCATGCCACTCAGTAATTAGGGTTGAAGGTAAGGTTAAATCCCATTACAAGCCCAGCTATGGTACTTGGAACTGTGTTGACTAAGTCCCCTGAACTTCCAAGTAAGCCCTGCACCCTGACCCAGAGGAACCTACCTGGCAGCTGTAGCTCCAGCGAGATAGGCAGCAATTTGAAGTATGCCGTCATCATCGAATCATCCTCTACAAGGTTTCTTTTAATGGCTTGGGCTTAGAGTTTAGGGCTACAGGGCTTAGGGTTTTAGGACTTCGGGCTTCAGCGTTACAGGGTTTGTCAGGGCTCTACGTGAAGGTGCCTGTGCTTTAAGAGCAGATATTTGGGGATCTGGGGTTTACGAATTTATAATCCCAGAGACTCCAATATCCCAGAAAACAAGAAAACTCCGATAACCAAAGTAGGGCTACTAATCTGATATAAGGTCTATCTGTGACCCCAAACCCTACAACATAGTAGGTTATCACCCCTTGATTCGATGGTAGAAACCCCTTAAAACGGTAGGTTTTTGGATCCACAGGTACAGTATATATTCTTACTACCACAATAAGACACAGAAATAGACTGATGTAAAGGGATGTTGGAGTTTCCAGGATCGCAGGGCTCATGGTCCTTGGCTTCTGGGCGAAGGTGGAGGCGCCAGATGCTCTCGACCATATCATATCTAATATAGGGGCCTTAGTAATTAGAGTAGGGTTCACTTTTTCGGGTTCCTTAAAAGGGGATCTGTAAGGGATCCTGTAAGGGCTCCATGATATAGGGGCTTTAATAATTAGAATAAGCTTCTTAGGCCCAAAATACTATAATTAAAGTAAGGAGCTCCCGAAATAGTACAGGTAGGTAGTGAGGCCCCTGCATTAACTCCGCCGCGAAGAAAGTCATACATCCGCAACATCGGAAGCCATCTTTACCACCCATGACTTATCCCAAACCTTAAACTTTAAACCCAATTGCCAGGCTCAGGGTTAAGAGGGTTCTCAGGTTTGGGGACCTTTGGACATGAGGCGATGGGAATTGGCTGCGGTTTGGTTCAGCGGAACATGCGACCTTACAATCTTGAGAGTTTCACCCCCCTCCCCCCCTGCCAGCCCGCCTCCCCCCCTCCCCCCCCTCCCCCCCCTCCCCCTTCCGCCCCCTTTCCCCCCCCTTGCCCCCTTCTTCTTCTTCAACCTTGGCATCTCCGCTCCAAAGTGCTCCTTGTTCCTACTTCGCGTGATCGTCGCGCAGCCTCGCGTGCTTCCGCCTCTTCCCCCCATTTTGTCTCACAATCTTAGAAGCGCACCAGCGAAGCTTGTCAACTTGAAGGTTCCCGTTTAGTCTCACAGTCTTAGAAGCGCACCAGTGAAGCTTGTCGGCTTGAGGGTTTAGGACCACTGTGGCTGCGAGTAGCGGCTCAAAACTGGCGCACAAAAACTGGCGCCCGTTTTTTGAGCTCGTCGCCAAGAATGTGTCTTTCTTGTTCCTTTAGGGTTTAAGGTTCAGCGGCCTTCGACAGAGGTAGCATGCGGGGAAACCAGGTTGAACTCGTGCTGCCCCTGCTTTGTGCTGTTCGACGCGGTTCTTTATGCAGCCGGAACCCTCAGACATAAAACATGCTGCGGTCTGTCGCCCACGGGGTCGGCGGCTTGAGCCGGAGCCTCTTAAATCGGGCAGCGCTTCGCTGCCCTGTATGGACTGAGCTATGGCTCAGACGAACTGCCTTCTCTTGCGAAGCAAAAGCCACGACGGCTTGTGCCGCCGACCCGCCGCCGACCCCGCATCATCGGACCTCCGTTTCCCCATCGGGCCGCGCGGGCCCTGGCCCGGAGGCGTCTCGGAACGCGCACGCGCTTCGCAGCCATTCCCCACGGCATGGCGGGTTTCGGGGCCGCCGTGGACGACCCCAGGAGGCGAGCCGGCGAGCATCATGAGCACTCGGGCGCCCGCAACCGGCCCCGCGGCGCGAAGTGGGCGCGAAGTGATGATTTCCAAGTTTTTGCGTGGGTTGCGGAAGCCCCAAAAGGGCGCGCATCATCAGCATCAGCGGGGTCCGGCGGAGGGCGGATGCGGGCTACATGGAGGGCCGACGAGGGCTAAGAGCGTAAGATCACCCACAAGTTGTGCACTTCGGGCCTACGTCACACTTTTGTTCCGGTGTCGCGCTGTCGTTGTCTCGGCACCGTCTGGAAATTTTGACCGTGTCTTTCCCGTTCCCCCGCTACATCTGCTGACAACAACTCGCGCTGCCCGCACCTGGGCGCAGCCCCTAGAATTCAGAAAAGATCCATGAGATCCATGAAATCCTGACTTCCATCCCTCCATTTGAGTCTCGTCCCATCGGCCAATATTCTTCCTTCCGTCATTCAACATCAGGATTTTAGGGTTTAGGGTTTACAGTGTTGCGGGTTTAGGGTTCAGAAATTGGGGCATAGTGTTTAATATAAGGGCCTTGATAATAAGAATAAGGTTTTGGGGCCCATTATGCTATATTTATAATCAGGAGCCTCCAAAATAGTATTGGTAAGTACTTAGGTCCCTATATTAGCGTGCTTTAAAGTCTCCGAACGCTCACAGCCCAGCCCACACCAGGCCCTCGAAACTTTTTCTCCACTGGAGGCTTAGACTTTAGGCCAGTCTGGTGCTTAGTAGGGACTGGGTTATTGGGACTATATTGGGGAATATAGGGGCTTCTATAGGGATCCATTCCCCCATTCCCTACTAAGAACCAGACAGTAGGTAGTTTAGGGGGTTTGGTGGGCCGTAGGGGCTTCTAGGGGTTCAAAACATACGGTATAGTTTAGGCTCCTAAATCCCCAAAAGCCTTACTGCGACTGAAGCCTGTACATAGAGTATACGTAAACCTTCAAAGTCTTAGTTATGTGGTAAAGCAGGAGCCACAAGCCAAATCCTAGTGTCCTCGAGGTTGTACTCCTGCTTCAACGATGCGTTTGCACCGAACATCTCCGGCACCCGGCCCTCGTACAGCTCTGGGCACTCCGAAACCTCGTTGCCTGGCAACGGATGCTTTGAAGGGTAGAAGGATCCATAGGGGTCACACACTAAGCAACCCCAGTCTTTCAAAAAACCTAGGATCCTTATTGGAAACCGTACGAAAGAAGGGGCTTTACCAGCCACGGCCGAGTTTAAGGACTCTAACAGTCCTACTACGCTGTAGGACCTTAGGGGAGTTTTGACGTTGCAAAGATCTCACTCTTCGGGGCCTCTCATCAAGTTTTGTTTATGATCATTTCGAGCGTGGGGTCTTCATGGTGTTCTACCGTAGACCAGAAACCTCTGAGAAGAGGTTTGGGGTCTGGTGCAAAGCGGGTTTCATGAAGACCTGAAATGCCCAAACCCGAAACACGCTGAACCCTCAACCCTAATAGAACCTCTTGTAGCAACCCTAATAGAACCCGTACAATTGGTGACCCTAAACCACAAAGCCAGGGGTAAAAGAAGGGACCCTTAATAAGGACCCCTAGGTATATACCCTTGATATAGCTATTATATACCCATTATTATACCGCCCATTATAGGGTAGGGGTCCCCATTAAGGGTCCCTCCTTTGCCCCTTTAAACAAAGCCAGGTAAGAGGTACTGAACTCGGCGCCGGTATCTTCGATGGCCTCTCTCATCTGCTCCCGGCAGAGGTAATGAACCTCCACTTGGAGGGTCGGGGGACTTGGTAAGTAGGTAGTAAGTAGACTTATAAGTACCCTAAAAGGGACACTAATTGGGGTTATAGTAATTATAGTACTTAAAAGTCCCGAAAATAACCAGTTACTAAGTCCCCCGACCCTCCAAGCACTCGGCTACTTGGAGAAGAACCGAGCTTAGCAAGAGCTTCAAGGGCTTCTGTGACGCAGAGTGCTACTATCAGGGCAATCTTTGCAGGGCATATCCAACTTATCTTGAACCACCATACTCTTCTGTTGGTTTAGTTACAGGATTCAGGCTTTAGGGTTCAGGGCCCGCAGTTGATAGGTTGCTTATATCTAGACGCCCCTTCGTCGTTTCCCCTGCTCGGCGTCTTCTATCGCAAATGTACCTCCATGACCCAGTTTGTATGAACTCCACTTCTTCGCTGATGCGGTGTCGCCGGACTCTCTCTCGAACTCTCTCTTCTTCCCCGGGGCATGAGGGCTGTTCGAAGCCCCCCGGCCGCAGGGGCCCCCCGTTGTTCATGGGGGCTTTGGAGGAGTGTGAAAGGTGGATGTCTCCCGTTGTTTCACAGAAATCAGTATTTAAGCGCAGCGTTGCCAGGGATCGACCATCCGTTGTGACATGGCAAGATGTTGCACTGGTACTAAGTCCGTTGTGAAGCAAACTGCTGAAAAGTTGCAACTACCACGCAATTCTCCGACTCTTCCCCCGGTGGGTTTCGTAGCTCTTCTTTGGTGGACTCGATTTCACCTACAGTAAGCCAAACGTTTTGGACACAACAGCTCGGAGACAACTTCGTCAGTACAGCACCAACAGCGGGCCTAAGTAAACTAGGTATGCTTGCAAGTCCTTGTGCTTCGAGCTTGACCCGACACTGCACATCGTCATGCTGATTGTCATGCTGATTGCAGCAATGATTACAAACGGGTAGGCAAAAGTAGTACAGTATGTCAACGATAATCTAACTGTAAAGTGATCACGTGGCTAACTCAATCTCTCTCTCTCTCTCTCTCTCTCTCTCTCTGCGTTTCCGTTGCTCCTGGCGGGGAAAAAGAGAGCAGGCTTCCGGCTGGCTGTACAGTTTTAGGCTCTGCTTCCGGGTCTTCTCGCTGTTGCCTTCGCGCCGGTTTCGGAGCCCAGCTTGACTCTAAATCCCAAACCTCATCCCCCTAAGCCCCAAATGCTAAACCCCGACAGAAACTCAAGTGAGCAAAGCCTTTCTCGAAGAAGCCGGGAAACAGATGCGATGGCTATAGTTAACCCTACTTGCTGCTCTTGGACGATCATGGGACGTAGTAAGTACGGTTACAACTGCCATAATTAGAGTTATATAAAACTGTAACTAAGTATGGCTACCTTCTTTCTAACCCTAGATACTATCCTTGTTATGATCCTTTAAGTGGGTGACCCAGCCTCATGCCCAAGACTCCCCAGGGCTCTTGCAATGGGCAGAGAGGGATTGATATGGCCAGAGGCCATGGGGAAAACGAAGGCAAAACACAGAGGGGACTCCATGGCAGAAGGGAGGGGCGAAACTGCATCCAGCTACGTTGAAACGCTTGGGCAAGAAAGCCATCAGCCCGGCATCGAAACATTTTTTTTATGTTGAGGGCTCTTTTTCCGACTGCCGGCAGTCGAAAACTGGTTTAGGGCTTAGGGTTTTGGGCACCGGGTTCAAAATCTTAGGATTAGCGAAGGATTGTAGGCTTCAGAGGCTCTTCCGGCTCAGGCTATGTAGGATTCGGGCCGTCGGGTTTCAGGTTCCAAGTTCACGGCCTAGGAAGTACAGTGCCTCTACCCAGATTTTGGGAGGATCTAGAAAGTAGATCCCCTACTTGGAGCCCTAAATAAAAGGGAACCCTCATTAAGGGATCTACTTGTTGGATCCTCCTGGGGTTCTGGGTAAAAGTGCACAAGGAATCCCCGCTCATCGAGCGGCAAGAAGCCTTGATTCCCGAAGCCCTCGCTGACGAAATGTGGTCTTCTGTTGGGCTCTACATGGCTCTACAGATTTTTGGGATGATTACGGCATGCTGTCTTCTATTGTGTCCTACAGATGCCCTAAAATGGCCAGGGTTTAGGGTTGCGGGTTTTAGAGGGTGCCCTGTAGGCCTGATAGGCCCGCTGTTTAATGTAGGGGTCTTAATACCTCCCTACATTATTTTGGTAGCACAAGGGGCCCCAAGACCCTCCCCAAAATCATAGTGCCCTTGTAGTATCCCTTATCGAACCTTTTAACGGAACCCTTTAACGGAACCCCTATTCTAATTATCAAGGCCCCTCTATCATAGAACCCTACTACAGATCCCTTGTAGCTCCCCTTTTAAGGAACCCTTTACAGGAACCCCTATAGATCCCTTGTAGATCCCCTTTTAAGGAACCTTTTAAAGGAACCCCTATAGCTCCCTTTAAAGCAAGCCCCTATATTAGGGTTTAGGGATCAGCTCGAGCCCCATCTTCGAGGGCTTTACGTCTCTGAGGAAGGTTTAGGGTTTAGGGTTTAGGGTTCTTCTGGCTGTGAACAAGAGCTAACATTGATCTACTGTACCCTAAGGCTCCTAAGGGGGTCATGGGCTTTCTGGGGGAGGGTTTGGGCTTTCGGGGCTGAGGTTTGGGATCTCACTACGAAGGTCCAGGAGCATTGGGGGTTAGAAGCTGCCCCCACCCTGTAATAGTGGTATAATAGGAATATAATAGGGCCCTACTATAATCCTTATCGTCACTGTTACATGGTGGGGGCAGTTTCTACTGTAGGGGCCTTCATAATTAGAATGGGGTTCCTTTAACAGGCTCTATAAGGGGTTACTATAAGGATCTATAGGGGTACGAAAACTATATAGAGGCCTTAAGAATTAGAACAGCGTTTTGGGGCCCATTCTACTATAACCATATCAAGGAACCCCGAAATAGCATTGGTAACTATTTAAGCCCCAATATTAACATTTCTTGGGCGGTTTAGTCCAGTCCAGGGTTAAGAGTTCAGGGTTAAAGGTACATAGTTCGATCAATACTGTTGATGATATAAATCCTGCACTGCCTTAAGGACCCTAAACTATGGGAACTATGGTATGTTCTTGACTATGGGTGATGCAGGATTTATATCATGAACCGTACGAATCGGAGGCAGGTTGGTCCGAAGATCCGCACCCACGTAAATGTAGCCGGAACCCCATACTTCGAGGATCATGGGACTTAGTAAGTAAGGTTGTAAGTACCTTAATTAGCAATTGGACGTATGGCTACCCTAGTTGTAACCCCAAATACTAAGTCCCATGAACCTTCAAGTACTCCCACGTGCAGGCAGGGAGTGCGTCGTGTCTTGTTACACCAAAGTAGGAATGGCTGGTGTTTACATGTGCATATATAACGTATGCAGAGATACATGAGCTAGCTACAGGTTTTTGAAAAGAACTGATAGGGACCCCGAAACCCCAAACCTCAAACCGCAAACCCTAAACCCTCAACCCTAAACCCTAAACCCTAAACCCGACCCCATCAGGTCGGCGATGCAATGCGTTCCGATGCGTTCCGAGATACGTGGTCCGGAGGGCTCGGCTAGGTTGAACCTCAGGTTTCGAAAAGCTTTGTCGGGTCTTGCAAGGGTTCCTGTAAGTAGTCTACCAAATTCCGTGGGGTTTGCGGCTTATATAGGGTTTCAGGGTTTAGGGTTAAGGGCAAAACATGGGCCTAACTGATTCAGGGGGGGGTATAATATAGGACTATTATTATGGTATGGACCCCACAGGAATGTGGTAATTGCTAATCCTTCTTTATTTCACAGACTGCACAGAATTGAGGTTCCAGGGCGTTGGGTTTAAGGGTGTGAAAGTGTGGTTTTTGAGCGGTAAGCGCTTGACAGTGGCGGCCGTGGCTCTCTTCCTCCGGAGTGCGGATTGGCTGCGTGACCAGCTGTGTTATCTGTTGCTGGGCCCGCTAGGGTCCTGACGCCCAGCTCGCTGCTTGTCTGCAACTTCTGTGGGTGTTCCGACATTCCGCACCTTCGATCCCAGCAAGCAGCATGCGTGCTGATCTGTGCACCCACACACACACGCAACACACCAGAGCTTTCATGATTCGATTTCACGATGTTGCTGTCGCAGATCTTGTGCAGCATCTCCAGTCTATGCTCGAGCCGATAAACGGCATTGTTCCCGTTTCCTGAAGGAGGAACAAACAGGATTGTCCAGCAACAGAGTGACTAATTGAACGGCTTCCGAAGTCCGAAACAGTTGTTCTGGGTTAGTGGACCCGACATGCCACAACCCGAGTGCAACTGTCCTGCCTTTCACCCCCTAGACGCAGCTCCTGTGTCTCGCCAGCAACCTAGCCAAATGCGAATCAACATCGCATGCAGATGTTTACGGTTTGGGGGTTCAGGGTTCGTCGTCTAGGGCTTAAAATTTACTCTTACAAGTTTTGGGGGTTGAGGGTTTCTGTTCTAGGGTTTGGGGGCTTAGGGTTCAGGACATTCGGGTTTAAGGATTTCGGCTTAGGTTTTAAGTCTTCTATACTGAACTTAGAACCCTAGCAAACATTGTAATTTTAGCTGTTTCTTAGGGATTACACTAACCAAAAGTTAAAAACTAGTTCTAAGTGCGCCTAAGTCCCTTAATATAGCCATTATATAGATATATATATATATATATATATATATATACCCATTATATAGCCCATTATAGGGTAGGGCCCCTAAACCCGAAACCCTAAACCCTAAGCCCAAAGCCCAAACCCCTAAACCCCTAAACCCTAAGCCCAAACTCCTGTCCTCATAACCTTCAGTGCGCCTAAGTCTTGCAGGCAGTTTATATATAGCCCATTATAGAGCACGGGTTATTAAGGGTCAAACCTTTTCCCTTCTGATTTCAAGTCTTGCAGGCAGTTTATATAGCCCATTATAGAGCACGGGTTATTAAGGGTCAAACCTTTTCCCTTCTGATTTCAAGTCTTGCAGGCAGAAGGCTCCACTCTCTCCAAGTCCTCTGCACCAGCTGGTGAGGTTCTGACCTGGCCCGCCACAGGATCTTCAAGTCAGGCGGGGAAGCCCATCTTTAATATGGGAGTTAGGATTACGTAGGGTTAGGGGTTAGGGAGAAAGAGTTTAGGGTTTCTTTTTGAGCGCTCTTTTCCGTTTAGGGTTAGGGGTTAGGGTTTAGGGTTTAGAGTTTAGTTTTTTTTTTTTTTGAGCGCTCTTTTCCGTTTAGGGTTTAGGGTTTACAGTTTAGAGTTGGGGCTTACACTAGGAGTTAGGATCAGGGGAACCCTTGCGGATATAGACCCTCTCAATAAGGTCTCTTTTAAGAGAGCTAGAAGTAGGGTTTAGAAGGGTCCCCTTTCAGGGGTCTCCCCACTATCTAGGAGAATGCACATCTTACCAAGGAATGAGCCTTCAATCAAGGTATCGAGAGTGGTTCAGTCCTCTCAAGGATTTTGGGGTCTGCTACCTAGGGTTCTGGACTTGTGAAGAGAGCATCGAGTAGCATCGAAAAAGAAACCCTAAACCCGAAACCCTAAACCCTAAAACCTAAACATAAACCCTAAACCCTAAACCCCTAAACCCTAAACCCCTAAACCCCAAACCGTTGTCATACTGCTTCCTTTAAAGGAACAGGTCCAAACAAACGCTTCCAAGCATGCCAGGGTTTAGAGTTCATCTTAGAGTTAGGGTTTAGGGTTTAGGGTTTAGGGTTTAGGGTTTGGGGTTTAGGGTTTAGGGTTTAGGGTTTGGGGTTTAAGGTTTAGGGTTTAGGGTTTAGAGTACTCAACAAAGTGGTCTTGGGGCTCTCTGGTGAAGTATCCTGCTGCTTGGGGTGCTTCTGGCTCCGGGCTTAGGGTCTAGGGTTTCGTACTTAAGGGTCTAGGCTTTAGAATTTAGGTAAACCCCCCGCCCTCTCTATCTGCTTTTGGGCTACAGGACTTGAGGATCATGCGCCGGCCTCCTAGGTTTAAGTACGGCTCTTACATGCTTGAATTTATGGAAGAAAACCCTTAGTAGAATTTAAAGTATCCGAGCGTTGGTCAAAGAAGGGTTAACCCTGAGAGGTGGGTGCTTACAGTGCCTATATCCGGGTTCCTCATGTTTGGAAATTCCCAAGTAGGGCACCCTCAGACCAAAACCCTACAGCCGGGACGCTACATCCTTTTGGCACAAGGTTCAGGAGCGTCTTTCAAACAGTATGGGTGGCCGCAGTCAAAGGACAACAGTTTTTGTTGGTTTTTATATGAGGAAATATACTTCACGTTATACAGGGATCCGAAAAGGATTAGAGTATGCTCCTAAACCCTAAACCCTAAACCCCAAACCCTAAATGAAGGGGTTTTTTGTGAACAGCATATCTGAGTCTGCTAAAAAAGGCTTTGGACTTAGAACTCAGGGCTTCGCACTCAGGATCTTTTTAAGGGTTCACGGGAGCTTTGTAACTAGGGTTATGGTTAAGGTTTAGGGTTTAGGGTCTAGGGTTTAGGGTTTAGGGTTTAGGGTATTAGGGTTTAGGGTTTAGGGTAACTCTACTTATAGT